TTATTTCAAGTTCTGATAATCTACATTCTTGATTTTTACTTTTGATCTCCAGTTCAGGCAGTTCTCCATCTTCAAATCTCCTTCAAGCCGTCAAAGGTAATTACTTTTTCCTTTTCGTTTTTTTTTTAATACAGTTTTTCTGTTTTTGTATTTGATTATTGTTGTTGTTCTTGCTTGAATATAGTCGAAATATGCCTAAAATCTGTTGTTGATTGTATTTTTGTTTTTTACGGGAAAATGGTAGATTTGTGCTGTTTTGTTGTTTATTATGCACGATTTAAAAGTAATGATGATGGGTTGTTCAGATTATGTGGTTATTGGCTTTTTTACCTAATAAAAGACCAAATTGTGTCACTTTCTGCAGTTATGTGCATAAAATAAATGCTAGTTTAGGGCTAGTAAAATAAACATCTCATGTTTATTTATAGGTTCATAATTTCATTGGAAACTTTTGAAAAAGTTTAAGCTTTTCTTATGTATGTTTTTTTCTTTTTGAGGATATAGGGGTAAACTTTTGCCAAAGAATGTTGAGGCATTGGTTACCACCCAAAATTGGTGCCATGGTTATCAAGCGGATGTTGAGGAAGACATCCTCCTTATTGGTAAAGAGATTGAAGCCGAAAGTGCTTCATCTGCATAACTGGTATTTGTGTCTCATTGTGGTTTATTTTATCTTGAAAAATCGTTGCCCTTGTCATTTATTTTCAGACTTGCTGGCAGCATTTTTCAAGACTTTTAAAATCGTTGTCCTTGTCATTTATTTTCAGACTTGCTGGCAGCATTTTTCAAGACTTTTAAAATCGTTGCCCTTGTCATTTATGTTGAGGCTTAAATAGTTAAATGTATTTTGGTACTTGCTGGCAGCATTTCTTAAGTTTTTGTTAAAACAACCATTGCTCAGTGATGTAAATCTGAGAGCAATTTTAAAAAAACAAAAGCTATAATTTTGAAGTTGCTTGAACTTGTTATGAGCTGCTGCCTGCTGGTAGTGCTTTTGCCTTTTGGTTGTTGTCTCTGCTCATTTGTTATTGCCTATATTGTTGCCTGCATGAGCTGGTTCCTGCCTCCTGCCAGCTTGAGGTGCTGTGTTGCTGCCTTTTGTGTTATGAATTTATGATAAGTTTTGTTGCTGTTGTTTCTTATGCTTGCTGTTTTAATTTTTATTGAATCATCGTTGCCCTGAGACTTCAATGTATATGTACTTGCTGACAGCATTTTTCAAGTTTTAAGTTAAAACAGCCATTGCTCAGTGATGATACGATAAACGTAAATCTGAGAGCAATTTTGAAAAACAAAAATAAGTTCATGCTGAGTCCCTTCTGCTTATATTATTCCTTGCTTCTGATAAGTTGCTGATCTGTTATTCCGTGTGCTGGTTCCTGCTTGTTGCTGCTATTTCCTCTGCTCTTGGGTGCTGTGCTGCTGCTTCAAGATTCTGCTTCAAGATTCTGCTCCCAAATCACTCACATTCTCACTCCTCCCTTCATCTTATAATGTATCATTTTTTGCAACCCTAAACTTGATGATGTTTCAGTTGATAAATCTGAAATCTAATCTGGGTAGTAGTGATAGTAGTTTCATTATGTATTGGTATATGTATTGTGAATTTTAGTCAATGAAAATGTGACTTTTTTTAATTGCTTGTTGATATTACTCTAATTTCAATGCTATTTATCTGCTGGATTTGTGGTAATGTTATGAAATAATTGTGGCTACAGATTTGGGATGCCTCCGTATTTATTAAAATTCTTTTACTTAATATCTGGTTTAATATAAGAAAAGCTAAAAAAATGTGTTTTATAAACATTTTAGTCCTCCCCTTTACAAAATACTTGTATAAGAAAGTTTTATAAAGTGATAATGTGAATGATTGTACGCCTTATTGACTAGTACAATAATATTCTAATGCTTATGCCACTTGTGTAACGCAATCTCATACATCTCCAATCTTATGTTACCTTTGAGGCTTTGAGTGTTATTGGATGATCATGAATATCAAGGAACAATGAAGATAATTTGGGTGGACTAGCATTATTACTGGAATGAAAATGACACAAATGATATATCTTGTAATTAAAATAAATAAGTAATCTAAAACGATATTAATAATGCCGTTGGCCTAGATCTAGGTGATATAAACCTTTGTATAAACCTAAGCCGTTTGATTAGATCTACATTTATTAACATTGATTGTATTCACTATTTAGCCATTTAGGTTGTAAATAATTCAATTTGAGTTAAGCAGTTTGTAATCGGATTAGTTTAAACAGGTTGCAATTCGAAAACAGTTCGATTTTAACGGTTTAACGGGTTATGGCAGTTCATTTTAGACAGTTAGCGGATTATAACGGTTCGGTTTATGCGTGCGGTTTAAACGGTTTCAGTTCATAAACGGGTCGGTTTAAACGGTTAGCGGGTTACAAATGGTTCGGTTTAAACGGTTTTTTTTCGGTTTAAACGGTTTCGGTTTATAAACGGTTCGGGTCATTAACGGGTTTATAAACCATTCGGTTTGGTTTCGTTTCGGTTCGGATTTGCGCAGTTTGGTTTGTTATCGGTTTACGGTCCGTAACGGGTTGACATTGAGCGGTTCAATTCGGTTTCGGTTTGATATTGAACGGTTCAGTTCGGTTTTCGGTTTATATTTATCGGTTTATAAACGGATCGGTCCGTGATGGTTCGGTTCGGTAACGGGCGGTTTCACGGTTCGGTTTGAAAAGTCCCACCCCTAACTTCAACTATTTAAATATCTGACTATAAATTGTAAAATCTTGATATTTTGAACATACACATTACAAGGAATCTAACACACGTGACTAAATTTCTTTCATCTGTAAATTACAAAATCCAGTTAAAGTATAGTTTGTAAATAAGTGTCACAAGTTAAACGTGTCTAATTGGAAATATAGAAAAAAAATATCCAAAGCTTCTAGTTCTAGGCCATTCACAAGAGTCAAAACTCACTTTTGAAGGATGGAAAATAATGTAGGCAGTAAATTTATTGTAGACGAAATTTGATCGCAAGTTGTATGTATCCCTGTTCAATGTTCTACTCCGTATCTATGAAAAAATACACATGAGACATTATTATTATTATTATTATTATTATTATTATTATAATTTTTTTTTTTTTTTTTGAAAGAACACATGATTACTTGAATAACCGGTATTTTGACTTTTGAGAACAATAATTAGCCCTTTGGCTTATGTATCATAAATTCATAATTATCCTTTTTGGTTTTTGTTGGGCTTGTGGGACTACAAGAAACACATCATGTGGTTTAGTGGTTGTCCTAGCCTTACCAAACACAAGTCATCCTTTCTTCCTATGTTCATCTTTTGATTGGAAAAGTATAACGTTAGCCATATACTTGAGGTAGCTTTCTCATGTGAGGCCTTATTTAGTTCAACTTATTTTTACTTATTTCAGAAAAAATAAGTTCAGATTAGATCAGATAAGAAAAAATAAGTTCAGATCAGAACATCATTTTATGTGCGGTTTTTTATCATTAAATATTCTTAATTCCGTAATAAAAAAAATGTGAAAATTACATATTAATAAACTACACATTATTACGAATTTAAGAAGATCCCACTTGATATATTTTTTCCTTATACATTATCGTACACTTAAGGTCAAAGTTTGGTCAAATCAAACAATCAGATCAGATCAGACCAGATCAGATCAGATCAAAGCAGTAAAAATAAGGTGAACCAAACAAGATATAAGTACGTAACCTTTTATTGACTATTTATTTGTGTTTTCTCTCATGATATAAACGGGATTAAATCGTGTCACACTATTCTCCACATTTAATAACTAACACAATCATCATCATCTTTATAGAGTGATTGATAATTTAGAGAATTCGAGAATGCCAATAATAAGCCCTTTAACTATGTATCGTAAATTCATATTTCATAGCTATACCTTTTTGCTTTGTTTGGTTTGTGGGACTACAAGAAGCATGTCATGTGGTGATTCAAGTCCAAGCCATCCTTTTATGAGAGGAGAGTCAAATAGAGAATGATGGGCCTCGGAAGAACATGTTATTACCCCTTGCCAAAAAGACGTGACAAAAAATTTCTCTTATTGCGACAAGATTCGTCAATGTTAAGATTAGCAATTTTCTCATACAAGTATATTGTATAAATTTAACATTTTTTGACTCTCTTGTTGGCAATCCCAACTAGAAAATAGTTGTTGAACTAATAAAATGTATTTTATTTTATTCGATAAAATTTTGACTTGACCTCATTCTATGAAAAAAGATCTGTTTTTGATAATTTAGGGTAGCTTCTTGGCTTGCCTTATAGCCAAAGTATGACAAGACAATGCCTAGAAAGACAAGGCAACACTAGGTAAAATGGTCAAGACAAGAATAGGGAAGACATCTTACGATCAAACATGATGGCAAGAGATGGACCAAGTCACCAAGGCATGAATGATTATGTGCACCATGTTGGCCTCTTAATTGGGGCCTTATGGGAACCCGGGAAGCTCCTCGTTGCATAAGCTTCCCAGATCCAAAAATATTACGTTGAAGCCAAATTTAAAAGTTATTATACAGAAAATCAGACCAATTTTGGAGATTTCAGCATCCTAGGGACATATAATGTTAATTGGAACTGTAGGCGACCATTATTTGGTCACATAAAGGCCTGTGGTAGTTTGAGTCAATGGAAGGAGGTGTATACATAGATGGCTAAATTGATAGTTTGGAAACAAAGTACATGGCTACAACCACCCAAAAAGGCTCCTATAGTTTTGTGGTCCTCGTTGAGTCCATGGAAAGCACCCCAACATGTTTTTCTTTCTTGATCCAAAAGGTTAAATATTGTCTAAAACTTAAAGTTATAATCCATGTTTTTGAACCAATTTTTGAACCAAGTTATAATCCACGTTTTTTTTATAGGGCGTACATATATTAGGGAGCAGTAAGATCTTGACAAAACACATTGAAAGTTTGAAACAATATTAAAGGATCTGTAAAGCAAAATTTAAAATAAATTATTTTGTATATTGAATAATTGAATGGAAGTTAATAATATTTACACATGACACATCCTTAGCAATTAGATACATAAATAAGAACTAGCCATCTTATCACCTCCTTCAGCCTATCATTGTTACAGACAACACTTCTGTATTCTTCAACAACCACTCATCTTCTTCGACCAGGCCGGTGTTTCCGAGAGAAAGTATTCCTAAGATTTTCTTTTCACAAACTATTGAAATGCATACATCATACAAAGTCTTCTATCATATCAGTACTCTGTCAAAATTTCAGCCATTTGGACGTGCAGTACCAAGGATATGCATGTTTGTGCATATCCACCAATGACTGATGACTCTCACCCCCTCAAACCAATAGAAAAAAGAAAAAGAAACGGAAAAGTTGCACATGAATAGGAAAGAATACCACCTATATTTTCTTTAGGAGAGGAAAATTGTATTCTGCAGAGTGCAGACGACAGCTCAATAAGATCTAAAGAACAGAAGTATAGCTTTCGATAGGATCAGATTCTTCAAGCATTGAAGCTGCTTGGAAACACTCTGCAGCATCAGCATTTCGTCCATCATCTCTATGTACCAATCCAAGGTAATACCAAGCTTTATGACTTGTAGGTTCAAGTCTCAATGCATCTGACAACAAGTTTCTTGCCACAGGCAATGCTTGAGGTCCCATTTTTGACAACAATGCACCGAGCAGTACCTTGCAGGGCACGTAATTTGGGTCCAACAAAACAGCATTGGTATAAGCAGCCAAAGCTTCTTTAACTAGCCCACGCCCTTCATACATGACACCTATTAAAATAGAATAGAAAAAAAAAAATCATGAAAACACAATTATTACCTCAGAAATCAATCAAACAGAGGTCTCTGAAACCTTCAGTTTTATTTAAAATCAATCTGGAATTATGCAACCAATTACTGAAATACTTCATGATACATCGATTGTCTTCGTATAGTGGTAGAATTTCTGGCCGTCTAAGTACATTACATATCTCAAGTCATAGCTCAATGCACTACAGTACTCCCATAATTTTCAGAAATCTCCTTTTAAATGGTCTAATCCTCTCTAGATAGTCCTTAATTTTGAAGCCTTCTTTAAATTCCTCTAAACATTAATTAAACCAGTTTCTAAACCATTTTTCTCTGTTTACAGTGAAAAGCCAAACCCAAAATGGTGATAGATTTACTATACCAGAAAATGCTTTCAACAAAGTGGTTGTTTTTTTTTTTTTTTTGAGAGAGGAGGGGGGGGGGGTGTGGAAGTTTAAAATTCTAATTCAGGAAAATTGGAATATCAAATAACATATGCAGCAGTACGTCAGATATAATAAGTGAGCTTACCAAGAGGAATTCAGGTTACATTTTTCACCTAAACATAAAATTCAAAACGCTTGCAAAAATTCAAAATCCATATTCTTTTTTAATGAAGGATGATGGGTTTCACATCCGTAATTCTATGTTCCTTTTTCATTTAGTTCAATATCAAGGTTTAATAGCCTGCTACCTTGTACACAACAAGGCGCAATAACATTGCTGCATAACTATTTATTGTTTTGGCGGTCTAATAAACAACTACATACAATAAGCAATGTCATAAAGGCATAAGCTACAGGAATTTTTTAACCATTAATTTAACAAAAAGACCGCATCAAAATGGCACTAGTAACCCTTTCTGGTTCAGTCATGACTTAAGAAACATTATCCATGACAAGCAGATTAACATTATGATTGGATGACAGTAGTGAAGGGAAAGGGAGGGGAAGAAAAAAAAGGGAAGAGAAAGGGAGGTGAGGGGAGGGCGTGACCTTCCATTTTCCTTCTAGTTTTCTCCAACAATGGAGCGATTTGGATTAAAAAAAATGGGAAGGCAAATGTACCCCTCCATTTCCTTTCCTTTCCCTTCCCTTACCCTATGTCTTATCCAAATAAGGGAAATTATATTCCTCAATTTCCCTTCCCCCTCTTTCTCTTTAAATATTCCTATTCAACATAGCGTAAATTGCAAAAAAACAATTATTTGTTATAAAAAGCCGTGATGGAAAAGGACAACTTTCAGGCCGTTTATCTATTTGTGTGACACAAAAAACCAATGCTCCCCTCAAAGTCCTTGTCTTATGGTACAAAATAAATTTAGGGTTTTTCCCAATTAGTGTCCTTAACTCCCTATATTATTTAACTTTTCATGTTGTATCCTCCCTTTTAATGATTATAAATTGTACCCCTTAATTAGAAAGTAATACACAATGTCTCTGTTGTTAACGGGATGCTTAAAAGTTCAATTAAGATGCATTTAAAGTACTTTAATACTTATGTATAAAGGTAATGGAATAATGTTTAGTTATGTATTTTGATACTAAGATCTTAATTAAAGTTATGTTGCAGTTTCCGACTTTTAAACTTAATTAAAGCAAGTCATCAAGACTCGTTAATATTTATCAGAAGTCCTTATAACTTATCCTAGCAACACTTGTCTATGTAAAGTTAATTGCAGGGATGTCATATAACTATTTTTAAGTTAGGGCTACAATGCTTTTTGAAAGGTTCTGATACAATGTAGAAAATGAAAATATTCATGAAAATTACTTAGAAAAATCCAAAGAAAAAAATTATAATCTAGGAAATAAATGTTGATCCAGACTGTTGACATGAAACTAAGAAATAAAATCAGGAATGAAAATGGCATTTGTACCTTTGGTCTGGGGGACTAACACATCATTACTGAATTAATATTCTGAAGGGTACCAGACTACCTTATTTACAGTTAAGTGATATCAATTGTTAAGTACCAATACTTTTAAAATGAATCAATTTGAATGATGGCTTAACAACATTCTCAAGCCTCACAATTAAAATAAGATAACTAAACATTATTACATTACCTTTATACATAAGTATTAAAGTACTTTAAATGCATCTTAATTGAACATAAGTATTAAATTACTCAAACAAGAATAAAACAGCCCCGAACAGTAAAGCCATCCAATGTTCTGATGTCAGCAAAATTCCCATTAAACATAACGTCAAGATTACTCGTGAAAGTCACTCCACAACCCATAAATCTCACTCTACTCATAATGTTAGGCCTATTTTACGTAATAATTGTCCCAAAAAGATTTAAGTGAGAATAAATTAACACGTATATAATCTTACTCTAGAATCAGTTAAACATTTTTTCAAAAAATAAGTTAGTTCATTTCAATCATCATCCAATCAGAGAAAACAGATCACAACTTGCCTTCTGTGTGTAATGTTTCAGCAGAATATTGCCTCAGAGACTGAGCTTTCTCCAAGCAGGCCTCGACATCCTTCCAGTGAGAAAGGCTTGAGTATAAATTTGCTAGACCAAGCCAAACTTCAAACTCATTGACTTTATCATCATCAGCCTATTAAAAATGTAAGAGGATCACTTTGCAGTGCTATATAAATAAATTTATATTTTGAGAGAAAGAAATACACCAACTATGATGATGACAATATCAAAGCCTTAATCCCTTAAATACATTATACATAAAAAGTAATATTAGAATTTCTGTGGAGAGAGAGAGAGAGAGAGAGAGAGAGAGAGAGAGAGAGAGAGAGAGAGAGAGAGAGAGAGAGAGAGAGAGAGAGAGAGAGAGAGAGAGAGAGACAGAGAGAGAGAGACAGAGAGAGAGAGAGAGAGAGAGAAGGAGGGTGGGTGTAAGAAAAGGACATATAACGTAAGAAAGAATGAGTGGAAAGGTGTAAATATTGTAGCCTTGTAGGGTAATAAGGGTAAGGTAGTAAAATGGGTTTGCCAGAATGGAGTGTATGAAAGTATTAAGAACTTATTGAAACGGATGAAAACGAATGTGAATCTTTTGAAACAGACAAAAACGGAAAGAGTTAAGAACTTTCAGAAACGAAGTACAAGTTAACCAGCAACCTAAAGTTAACAGATTTTGGAAAACTGTAACATTTGTAATAGAGCTACACACTTGAAATTATGTTTGTGAAACTCCTGGGTCAAATCCACTACAATTTATTTCTTTTTTTTTTTTCCCATCATTCTTATTTCACTAGAGTTCAAATACCTTAAGTTTAACATTAGTAATAACATACGTAAGAAGTTCATCCAGTAAAGCTTTAGAACTTTGTAGATAATTTTATACAATGCTAAATTACAATCTTCGAAAAGTTGCCCACTTGAAAATTTGTTTTCCCTGGGAGGTAGTGTGACATCATGTCATGAGACCATTTTGGATCAAAATAAAAGGTACCCCCATATCAGAACAATTTTGAGCCTTCCTAAATTTCAAAGCCTATCAATGCATAATGCATGCCTATGACAGAACATCCTTGAAGCCATAACAAAAATTGTGAGAAAAGATAAGGCAGAAAGAGAAATGAGTATTCAATTCTGACTATAGGATACTCCGTGTAAGTTACAATTTTAATGAAAACTATAGATTTCCAAAATTATCTTTAACATGCAGCAGGGCCAATTGATCAAATGATTTTTTTCAGACAATATTAGTAGACAATCAGGTATTATGAATAAAATGTCAGGGAATTATCCTAACCTGATGATTGGCTTTTATAGGACCAAAAGATTTTCTTTGAGCTTGAACAAGTGCCAGCAGGTAACGATAAGTTTCTATTGCATCCATTGGTAATGACTGAAAGATCTTGAGCTTTGCTTTCATTCTAAGAAGTGGTCCCTGCTCCCATTTTGCAGTCTCGTCTAAAGCGGCATCAATAACCACTTGGGCTTCGGAATATCTCTTTTGAGAAGAAAGGATCAAAGCAAGCAACCGCCAACCTTTCAACACAGATCCACCGGTCGCATCAATAAACTGCTTTGCATATCTCAATGCAGCATTTACGTTGCGATACTCTGCATATTGAATTGCCAATTCTAAAAGAAGACCTGGGTTGCTGGAATCAAAACTACGGGCCTCCTCCAATGATTTTAAAGCTTCACACTGCAAACTAGACCTTTCATAGTCAGACGAGGATACTTTAGCTTGCCTCCCCAAACAATGTCCTAGCATGCGTAAAGCTACACCTTTAAAATGCTCTTGATCATCTGATGCACTATTAATTGCTCTCTGTGCAAATCCCACACCCTCAGCAGCCAGAAACGGGTCCTCACTGCAAATCTTAGCTGCTAATAACAAAGCCATAAGGTCATCTGGTCTCTCATTATCATGTAAAGATTTCCTTAATAAATTTAAGGCTTCTTTATTTTCCCCTGCTCCACTGTGACAAAGAGCCAAGGCAACCCAGCGGTCAATACGATTAAAAGTTCCGGGCATTACCTCTTCAAGTTGCCTTGCCAAGACAGAAGTTTGACTGCAAAGAGATAATGCAAACGTAAGGTGCTCCATGACTGATGGATCCCATTTGATCTTGCCAAAGGCACATTTCCGTATTAGGATCATCAATAGTAAAATTGCCTCCTCTAAATTGTTCCTAGGAATATAAGATCCATCAATCTGTACTGACAAACTGGGTGCTGCAGCATCTACACCACTATACAGCAGAAATACTGCAAATTTTTTCTGAATCCTTGCACAGAAGTCATTATCAAGGTTCCACTGACTAAGGAGGGCACGCCTATATGCAGCAATGGCCTCATCATGAGATCCAGCTTGTTTCCAGAGTTCAGGAAGAAGTTCCACAGCTTGACTAACTGTCTCTTGCAACCGTCCATCCACTTGCAAATCAGGTATGCCGTGCTGGAATATCTTTTCCACTGTATCCAGAACGCTCTTGCATTCACCAGCAGCCTCTGCAAAACGGTCAACAACAAACTTTTGTTGATTGTATTCTTTACAGAACAAAGAAAAATTGTAGAAGGAATCAAAAGAAATGAAATGCCAATTGAGTAAAATAAGATAATGAGTTAATGTTATCTTGTCAACAATGGTCCATACCAGTTAACCTTCCAAGCTTCTGAAGGGATTTGGCCTTCAGATATATGGCTTCAAGAACTAGGCCAGCAGCATGTTGTGGGACATTATGCACAGATTCAGTGCGAGGGCGACCCTTTTTAGATGGCTTATCACTAAGTGATGGCTGAAACCGCTGAATTGCAGACTGAAGATCAATACCTTCAAATACACGAAGCGCACCTTCTACATTACCTCTATGGTACTCCAACCTTCCCAAAAGGGCCCTGGCTTCCTGTAAAGAAGTCATTCAATCAGTAACAAGCCATAGCATGCACATTTGTGTACATGACAGGGAAGCTAATTTAATGCTAACTTACATCACAGTATTAAAGAGCTCAAATATTGGCAAAAATAGTTATATCACAAAGAAACTGCAACAGAGACATTTTACAAGAAAGAAATATCAAAAGGTACAATCATCCTAGGCCAATAAGAAAATATAAGTCATTAAAAAGTGGAGCAGACCAGCTAAATGAAGATAAGAACTTCCAATCAACAAGAGTTGAAAGCATTCACTGAAACACAAGCTGATGCCAAAAAACATTGGCACCCAGTACTTCATTATTTTATAATTAAATAAAATAGCTCAATGGGCTTACCAATTTGACAACCATTATATTGGAAGCACAAGAGTTTTTCAATATCAAATAAATCAGCCTAAACAAGATTCTAATTTCCCTCATTGGACAAAATGAAATCCGTCACTCTAAGAAAGAGGAACAGAGCAGAGAGTTCAGTAATTCAAGTCCTTAATTCTATGGGAGAACCAGTTATTTCAGAATAAGAGATTTAACTGGATGCACAAACTGAAGTATACACCCATGGAAGCTTTACACACACACACGCACAAATCGACACTTGATTTTCGTTTACAAATAAGCAAGCACACTAGGCCTAATTAAAAAGGCTCTCAATTTGCATGTTACAAAACCTACAAGAACTCACATCCTTGTTGTAAAGGTGGAATATAATTGCACCCTTAAATTAGGCATGGAAAAGTTGATACACAAAGGACCTACCAAAGGAAGGCAATAATTGAACTTCACAAACACAAATCCATACTCAAATTCAATTTATGCCAATAACAAGATCTCATAAAAATGCATGATCACAGAATTCCTCCAAGCAAATCAATATCCACCTTCATTCTACCAAGAATGCAACTATACATGCCATCTAAAAAACACCTATAACTTAATAAATCTTACAAAATCATATATATATGAATAAAAGGACGGAAATGTACTTCAAAATTGAGAGATAAACCCTCACACAACGACGATTCGGCCTCTTGAATGTTTCCCTCATCAAGCTTAGCTTCAAGCTCCGCCGTTTTCATGGAATTCCCATTTGCACGGAATTCCCTTTCCCACGTTTCTTCTTCATGATCGCTCGAAACTGCCGATTGGCTGCCTGGCATATGTATTTCTTCCAATTCCCTGCCCTAAATACCACCCAATTTTCTTCTTCTTTCTTCCTCCAATTCAATTCAATCTAAATCAAAATTCCAACCCAGAAAAATTAAAACATCATATATAACAATATCTCTAAAATTAACATCATTTCATTGCAATGTTGATCAAAATTCAGATCATCAATATAAAACTAAGGTAGAAATTCAGCTAACCAATGATAACAATGGCACTGTTTGATTAACTGTTGAATTCTCATTTTTATCAATTACATATGATCAATTGAAAAATGTAGTAAAATCAGAAAATTCGGCAAAATTAAAATCAGAAAATTCGGCAAAATCACAAAAAATAAAAATTGATGAAAATCAAAGAATGTGATTAATTTACTTACAACAATCTGATTCGGAAAAATTACTCAAAGATCAAAAAAAAAATTTGTGAGAAAATGTGATTTTTTCACAGAAATTGGAGTTTCTCTTTCAAATTTTCTCTCTCCTGAAAATGGGAAGAAAGTGGGGGATCCGTTGAAGGTGGCGAGATGGGAGAAATTGGGTTTGTAATTCCTGTCTAATAATAACAACATGCACTTCATTACAATCTTCTTTATTTTATTAATTAATTTTAATTGATTTAATTAATTGGATTAATTAATATCTTCAAAAAAAAAAAAAAAAAAATTAATTAATTGGGTTGGATTCTGTATCTCTGTAAGACTGTAATTAAGAAAGTCTGTGCCTTTCATTTGATCAAGGCTATATATTGGTACTAACTACTAAGTACGACTTGAAAAGTGGTGGACCCCACTTTAAATATCTCTTGGGATGGAGCCCAATACTTTATTATGATCCCGCTAATAAATCTCGACTTATGTGAGAATAATCCTACTAGCTTGGTTGGGGAGTGGTTAAAATATTACGGAACAAAGGGAGTAATCAACAATTCAGATAATAATTCTAGTAGCTTTGTTAGGGAGTGGTTAAGATATTACAGAATAGAGGGAGTTATTAACAGTTCAGAATATAACGAGTGAGTTTTTCACAACAAGAAGTGAAGTCAGTGAGTCTTTTGTTTATTCACCATATACCCCTGAGTTTTTTGTTTATTCATCATATATTCCTGAAATATGATGTATTTTTGTGAAAACTCCGGAGTATATGATGAATTTAAAAAAGTTCAAGGATATATGATGAATAAAAAAAAAACTTAAGAGTATATGGTAAAAAAACCGTTTCTCCTTTCGTGTAACTTTTATTGTGGAAATTGGATCAATTGGTTGAAGATCAGGGCTAGCACAGGCAAAGTCGTCTACTCTACTACAGTAACTGAATAAAATCCTTAGTCCAGTTAGTCTTTTGGCATGTTCAAACAAATGGGCTAAAATTTAGGAGATGAAAAGTTTAAAACTGATGAAAGCATAAAAGTATACTCCATAACAATTACTGATTGATTAAAACTGATTTGAATACTACTTTAATTCATAATTTCTCTGTTTTTTCCATTTGATTTGTTTCATTTATCAAGCTTATCAATACATAAATCTAACTATCAATATCCATGTTTCTAATTTTGATTTTGTTTGATTTGTTTTATTGAATCTTATTATAATACGAAGTATCTATTTGTTATAATTTTTAATTGTTTATATTATATATATGTTTTTCACTTTTCCTCAAGTATAAGTCACACATGATTATATTAATAGTGGTAAAGTCAAACTAGGTCAAATAAAAAACAGAGGAAGTATAATTAAATTAAATTTTATGTCCATCAACATGGGTACCATCTAAAAATATTGGCTTATCACGAATGCAGGATGCCTGATGTTACAGAGGAAGAATGGGGGATTCATGAATGGTGAATACAAAGGAGAGAGAAGGGATAGGGGATGGAGGTTGGAAGAGAAGGCTTTGCAAACTCTGCATCATTGTCGTCGGATTGTTGCAGACAGAGTGAAGGGTGATTTGACTAGTGATCTCCAAACGACGGCGCAGCTTTTGAAATAGCTACGCCAATCCTACACGAATAGTTGAATAATACTCTGTATATTGGAAATTTTTCTTCCGTTTAGCAATACGTTTGAATATCCCCTGAGCTCCACATGTTTACACCAGCATCAATAAAAAATATGGTCAGATTCAATACAATTATTGCATAGGTTAGCTCCCGGTGACGTTTTCTGCTTCAACAATGTTACCTCTTCTAACAGTCCAACACAAAAAAACATTTAGTGTTACTTATACTACACAATTCTTTCTAGGACCACATGAAACTACTATTCTCACAAGCCAAAATTGTAGTTTCAGGATGATTGAGCGCATATCTACAGCATATAATAAATCGAGATTACAGTAAAAAGAATGTAGTAAATTGGAACTTAAGTTCCATGGGCAACAAGGAATAGATATATCTTTAGATGGTACCATTTAATCCACTCTTTGCCCTCCTCTTTTGCAAGTTTGCATCATAATGCGCAAAAGCGGCATCCAAAGCCTGCATGCAAATAAGTTGACACCAGAAAATAAATTAGAAGAATTATTCAGGTTCAAAGAATTCTCCTTTTTGTTTTTTATTTTTTATTTTTTAAAATAGAATATTCAATATATACTTCGTATAAAAGAATATGATTTACACCATATAAACATAGTAATCATCCGAATACCACGAGTAGTACTGCATGTGTTCAGGTTGCCGGATGTAAAGTATTAATGGGATGGTTTGGCAGCCTTAAATAATCTGTTAAATTTCAGGAATGCTCAGTGCTAGCTGATGGGTAACGGTTTGGTGTCAATTGTGTCACTGTAGCCTCTATGGTTTTATCAACTTCTCCAAACATTAGGTATAAGTTTCCTTTACATAGTAGTATGTGAACATGGTTTTAGGAAAGGATAATCATTTATAGAATTTCAAAATGGATCTATCTGGCCTTAATCAATTCATTGCCATTCTGCATCATAATGTGCAAGTAGCACCTATAGCTTGCACGCAAACATGTTGCCCTCCTTAGAATGCTATGTGCAAGTGCGCGTGTGCGGGTGTGTGTCTCCACAGAAACTATATCATCCAATAACAGGAGTATGACAAGCAAATTGGACTAAACTGTGTGTGTGTGTGTCCCCTCAAAAACTATGTCATCTAATATTAGGAGTATGACAAGCAAATTGGACAAACCTGGACCATTGGCTGAACCAGAAGCGAGATTTGATGTCTGAGATCTGATGGCACAGACTCCTTAATTTGCTGCAAATAGCGGCAAAAGTTATGTAAACATTAAATCCACAAACAGGCAACGGGGTTCCATAATCAATCAATAAAGAAATTCAGTTCATTTCCAACTGGGCTGAAAGAGTCCAAATCAAACCAGACGAATTCCACTGGGGGCAGAATAGTCTTAAAAACTTTCAATTTTTTAGTTATGAGGGCCTGAATCAAAATAGCAGAGCCGCTCTTTACTTTATTGTTGCAAAGTAGTAAGCAATAATGGGGATATGCATCAACTATGTAACCACCATTGGTAAGAGACCTCAAGCACTAAAATGAAGGTTTACGGCACAGAAGATTATATGTCAAGATGACATTGCCCATAGCTCGATCAACCACCATATAGTTTTTCATATAACCACAGCTCAGTACCAATTCAATCAACTGAAAATGCAGACATTATAGCTACTATATCTCAAGTTTATTACCCCTTCCACCAATGTTTCCAATATTTGGAGTCTGTGGCTCATATTTAGTTATGAATTTCTAAAGTTGGAAGCAAAATTGGACAGAGGGTTAATATTAATAATTAAATTACAAGTTACCTAGGTACTTTTACCATAACTTAGCTAGGTACATATACAATGCTTCAAATATTTCCGATTAATGTATTTGTTGATTACTTGATTCTACTATTCTCTTATACATAAAATTTTCTCATGGAGTCACAGGCATTTCAGAAACTATGGGTTTAGGTTGTGTACATCAGAATCACCCAAAATCCAATTGTATACCCTTCTTAAGAGTATGAGGCTAACTAGTCTGGTGTAGTAATTAAAAAAAAAAAAAAACTGTTAGTAAGCAAAAGATACATAAATGTTATTGTTTGGTAGCAAAATGTAAACGAGTACTTTATTTCTTGTCTGTTAAAACAGTATTTAAATGATAAAAAAAAAAGAAAAAAAAAATTCTAAAATCTCACCAGTTGTAATAATAAGTAAAAATCATAAGCTTCTAAGCATCAATATAAGGGGCAGGGGCACTTTAGGTAGTACCGTAGTAGCATTAATAAGATAGATACTCTTAGATAGTTGTCTAGAGGGTAAGCATCATATGTAGAGCAAATAAGAGAGCATAAAGGCAGGCAATTGTTGAATATTTCTTTACCTTTTAGATTATTAATTGAGAGAGAATCAAGCCTCATAAAAGCTTCAATATCCTTTTAAATCTGTATTTTTCAGATTATACAACCTTCTTCTTCACTTAGATTCTGCCATTGACAGTGTCTATTCTCAGCATCAACAGCCCCCCCCCCCCTCCCCCCCAAGAAAAAAAAGGTAAAAAAAACCAACACCAAAGCTTTATTCCCAAAAGGATGGGGTCCACTCTATGAACCAAGAATCTATCTCATCTTCTCATGTGGTCATTCACAAAGATCCTCTTCCTCCATTCAGTTTTATCCAATTCTACATGCTCTTGCAAATACACTTTCTTCATATCTAAATCACCCCCCCCAAAAGTCATTTTTGGTCTCCCCCTACTTCCTTAGAAATCTTCATCATCCCAACCCTCCAACTTGACGTCTTACATACCCAAACCAATGTAGACATGTAGTCTATTCTCCCTTGTAATATTCTTATCAACTTTCCTTCGAGTATCTATAGTCCTCATTTTTAACCCAAAAAGGTGTCTCCACACATCCATCTCAACATATGCATCTCTGCTACACCCTTCTTAAAATGCTCCTTAAATGCCCAACATCTGACTTGTATAACAAATTACTAATGCCCCAGTCTAATTGTTGGTCTTAATCATAGTGGTGTGTCATTATCACACAATAACTCAGTCGGCACTCTCCATTTGAGTCAACCAGACTTATTTCTGTGGATGTGTAAAATCGATCCAAGGTACTTAAAACATCACAAATGAGGTAGCTCTTTACCTCAGTTCTCCCCCCGCCCTCACCCCACCCCACCAATACAAAGATGACACTCCGTGTACTTAGTTTTACCCTGACCTAACCTAGCCTTAAACCCTCAAGACTCTAAACTGTGTCTCCATCGCTTCAGCTTAGCATTACCATAGCTCATTTATCAATACGATGGTATTATCGTATTGAATTATTGATGGACATATAGAAATCATTATTCAATTCAGCTCAATTTATTTTGAAAGCATTAATACAACTTATACAGAGTTCTATAATAAGCATTAAACTCTAACTCGTAAACTTTGAGCCTGATCTGGTTCATAAATAACTATAGCTCTAGAAAGGTGGTTTGAATGTAAACAGGAAATCAGAAGTAATGGTAGAAAGCAAAAGGCGAGAAGGATTTGTCACCTGTAGCTTTGGATATATCTGAGCCATCGCGTCTTTCAATCTATCAACCTGTAATAGAAACAAGAGAAGCAATCTCAGCTTTACCAAAATAAAATAACACTTTTTAACACCAATCCAATCTCGTACAGGGACTCATTATTTCAGTTTAAACTGCACATATACAACTACAATGATCCTTGTCAAATTACAGTTCGTCAGCTCCATTCCTGGATTTCAAGAGATCAAGTTCTATCCAGCCTTGTCTGTAAACAATTAAAAGTCCATATAACGAGGAAATTCGCATGTATGTCAAACTGGGACTAGAAAAAGAAAGCACCTTATCCAGTAGTAATGAGAGAAAATAGAATAAGACAATGCAACGGACTACGTGGTACGGCAATAAATAGCTAAGACGGGAATTGTTTGATTGATTAATGGCAGCTAAAAGCTTGCGAGAAAGATAACAATGGCTTTAGGCCATTACTCTCCAAGAGTTCCTTACAAATTTCCGCTTCCCTCTTCTACTCTTTTCTCACCTATTTATACTACTACAACTCATACTACAACTCATACATAATCGGACAAAACGCCTTAATTGCTAAATTTACTACAATTTGTCAACAAGCTAGAGTTACCACAGTTAATAAGCAAATACTCCAAAAGTGTCCCCTGCTACACTCAGATAACCGTTGCTTGTGTTGGTGTTGGTGGAGTGTCCTGCTGCCCCTGCTGTTCCTGTCCCCTCCTTTGCCTTCTGCTATACACCAAAATAGGTGGAGCTTGTGGGTGTATTGCAATACCGGCCCCCAAAAGAGCCACCTTGTCCTCAAGGTGGAAGCTCGTAAACTGCTCTTTGACTGCTACGGCATCCTCCCATGTAGCCTCAAATTCTGGAACCCCAACCACTTAATTAACACCTCAACTCGACCTTGCTGCCCATTCTTGCGCCTAACATCCAACACCTCCTCTGGTTCAACCACCATCTCCAACTCCGGGGTCAATTGTGCGGGGATGGTGGGGGAAACATGAATACCACCAACAACGCGCTTCAATTGCGAAACGTGAAAAATGGGATGAATGCGACATTCCTCCGGCAATAATAACTTATACGCCACCTGACCGACACGCTGCACCACCTCATAGGGTCCATAGAAGCGAGCCGCTAGCTTCTCAAAAGGCCTCCTAGCCAAAGACCGCTGTCGGTAGGGTTGTAATTTGAGGAACACAAAGTCCCCCACCTGAAACTCTTCATCCCGACGCTTACCATCCGCATTACTCTTCATAATCTGCTGAGCACGCACCAAATTGAACTTCAATTCGTCCAAGATTAAGTCCCATTCTTGAAGCAATTCCTCCACGGTGCCCACCGAAGTATGTCCTGCTCCCACCCGTATCAATTTGGGAGGTTCTCTACCGTAAACCGCCATAAAAGGAGTAATCAGTGTAGCGGAGTGAGGGGTGGTGTTGTACGAAAATTCGGCCCACGGCAGCCACCTTGCCCAAGACTTGGGCTGACCCCCCGCGAAGCAGCGGAGATACGTTTCAAGCCGCTTGTTTACCACCTCCGTCTGTCTGTCGGTCTGGGGGTGGTAGGAGGTGCTGCGCTTCAAAACAGTCCCCAGCAACCGAAATAACTCTCTCCAAAAATTGCTCAAAAATACTCTATCCCGATCCGATACAATGCTGACCGGAATTCCATGAAGCCGGACCCCCTCCTTAACAAACACCTTCGCCACCGTATACGCCGAGAAAGGGTGCTTGAGCCCAATAAAATGGGCGTACTTCGACAATCTATCAACTACCACAAATATGGTATCCACTCCCTTCAATCGGGGAAAACCCTCTACGAAATCCATGCTTATATCCTCCCATATTTTCTCGGGGATGGGCAGGAGTTTGTTGAGAGTGTTTATTCCTCTGACAAATTGAGCAGCTTCGTATATATTGCATCACATCCTTCCGCATCCCACTCCAAAACCAATCCGCCCCGATTTTCAAATAGGTCTTAGTTTCACCGACATGTCCTCCCTCCGGTGAGTCGTGATAGACTCGAAATAGGGTGGTTTTGTGCACCGAATTCCTTGGAATGACGACCCGACCCTTGTACAGCAACTGATGATTGTCCACCGTATAACCACGGGGTCCTTGTCCACCCTCGACCTCCGCGATTAATTTCTGAATTTCGCCACTTCTCGCGATTTCCTCCTTCAATTCATCCCAGTTCACCAATTGCGTGGCCACAATCGCGTTACATTCCCCTTTTTTCTCATCCTCGCCACGCCTCGACAGGGCGTCGGCCACCCTATTGGCCACCCCGAGTTTGTATTGAAGTTCAAAGTCAAACCCCACCAATTTCCGAACCCATTTCTGAAATTCCATCCCAATTTCCCTCTGTTGTGTTATGTATTTGAGGCTTTGTTGATCGCTTCGGATTACAAATCTTCGACCCAACAAATAGTGCTTCCATTTCTCCACGGCGAGGCAAACCGCCATCAATTCTTTCTCATATATCGATTTTCCTTGTCCTCTAGGGCCGAGCACCTTACTAAAGAAGGCCACCGGCTTCCCACCTTGCATCAAAACTGCTCCGAGGCCGTACCCCGAAGCATCCGACTCCACAACAAATTCCTTCGAAAAATCGGGCATGATGAGTACGGGCGCCGAGATCATCGCTTGCTTCAAGGCGTTAAACGCCTCATCGGCGGCCAGAGTCCACCCGAAACAGTCTTTCTTGAGTTGCTCTGTTAATGGCCTTGCGATATGAGCGTAGTGATGAATGAATTTCCTGTAGTATCCTGTCAAACCCAAAAACCCCCTCAAATCTCGGATGGACTTCGGTGTGGGCCAAGAAACCATTGAGCCCACCTTCTCTTGATCTACAGCACATCCCTCTTTAGAGATTATGTGGCCCAAGTAAGCCACTTTGGGCTTCCCAAATTCACATTTCTTTAAGTTGGCAAACAGTGAGTTCTCTTTAAGGGTGGCTAAGACTAACTTCACGTGAGCATTATGTTCCTCTTCACTAACACTATACACCAAAATGTCATCAAAGAAAACAAGGACAAATTTACGCAAATAGGGTCGGAATACCTCATTCATGAGAGCTTGGAAAGTCACCGGGGCGTTAGTGAGACCGAAAGGCATGACAAGAAATTCGTAATGCCCCTCGTGAGTCCGGAATGCGGTCTTGTGAGTGTCCTCCGGTCTAACTAATATTTGATGGTAGCCGGCTTTGAGATCAAGCTTTGAAAATACCCTTGCTCCATGTAACTCATCTAGCAACTCATCGATTACCGGAATGGGATATTTATCGGGAACGGTCTCTTTGTTGAGGGCCCGGTAATCCACACAAAATCTCCATGATCCATCTTTTTTTTTCACCAAAAGCACCGGACTTGAGAAGGGACTTGTGGACGGCCTTATGATACCCGCTTGCAACATCTCCCCGATGAGCTTTTCGATCTCATCTTTTTGGAATTGTGGGTATCGATAGGGCCGGACACTAATGGGGTTAGTACCCTCCTTAAGCACTATATAATGCTCATGTCCCCTTGTTGGGGGTAATCCACTTGGACACTCAAACACCATGGCAAACTCCTCCAATACTTCTTGCAAGTATTCTGGAGGCCCACTGATTTTCGGCCCATCCTCAATGGGGCAGCCCACTTGCTTCTCCAACTTGCTCATTTCCACTAGTATGCCTCATTCCTCCTTCCTCAACGTTCTAATCATGGCTTTAAGGGTAATTCCCGACTTGGTCAAGCTTGGATCCCCCCTAATTACCATGGTCTTCCCATCCACGGAGAAACTCATTTCTTGCAACTTCCAATTGGTGAGCACGATTCCTAATTTCTCGAGCCATTGTATACCCATGATCACATCCGAGTTTCCCAACTTAAGAGGTAAGAAATCCTCCTCTACCACTACCCCTTCTCCCAATTCCACGCATACTCCTCTACATTGCCCCTTCCCTTTGATATTCTCCCCATTCCCAAGTGACACCCCAAAACTAGTGTCACCCGATACTACTAACCCAAGACTCTCCACGGTGTGCAAAGATATGAAGTTATCGGTGGCCCCCGGGTCGATCATGATCACCACCGGTTGCCCCTTGATCTTTCCTCTAAGCCTCATCGTCTTTGGATTAGATAACCCGATAATTGAGTTCATAGACACGGCGACCGGGCTCTCCTCACTTTCCAACTCCGGTGCCTCCATCACCGCAAGGTCCCCCCCTTCCTCACCTTCTTCCTCCTCTACTAACAACACACTAAGCCCCTTAGCTCCACAAACATGGGTAGGTCCGGTCCATCTTCCATCACACTTAAAGCAAAGGCCCTTTGCCCTTTTATCTTGCATTTCCCGCTCAGTCAATCTTCTCACACTTCCACTAAACTGAGAGGAATTTGGGTATGGTCGGTTTGAGTAGGAATTTGTGGGTTGGTTTACAGAGGCTAGGGAGTTTTGTGAGGATTGGCTGGGTTAATTGCTCTGGGTTGGGCCAGTAGGAGTTGGGCCGAAGCTTCGGGTTGGTTGGGTATTACAAGTGGGGTTGGGTTGATTTGTGGGTTGATGAGGTTGGTTGGATCCAGCCCCTAATATGGTGGTGGCGGGGCTCTGGTTAAAGTAGGAATAGGGTCTGGGTTTGGTAAACACTCCACCCGACTTCTTGAACCCGGCTACCCGATTTCTTTCCTCGACCCGCACCGCCAAGTCCATTGCTTCATCCAAGGTCATCGGATTCAACATTCGAATTTCAGCCTTTACTTCCTCCCTCAATCCATTAATAAACTGAGCCTTGAGAATGTTCTCCGGAATGTCAGGAAGAGGCGCCGCCTTCTCTATAAAAAACCTCCGATACTCCACCACCGTGGCGGTTTGTTGCACCGCCAACCATTGCTCGTGTAGCGAGCCGGCGTTAATAGGTCGGAATTGGTTTAACACTCGTAATTTCAAATCTTCCCAGGGCACCACCGGCCGGCGACGGTGTTCCCATTGATACCACCGGAGCGCGTCCCCATCAAACGCCACTACCGCCGCCTGTATTTTCTCGGCCTCCGACAGTTGATAGAATTGAAAAAATTGCTCTCCTCTCAAGATCCACCCGTCTGGGTCTTTTCCGTCGAACGTGGGCATGTCCAACTTACGGAATTTCCAGTTGCTGCGAGTCTCGTGGTAGTTGCGATTCTCCTGGTTGTTCTCGTGGTGGCGAAATGCACCACCCAACCCTGCCTCCCAATTTCCAAAGCGGAGGCCATTGAAAGCCCTTACTCCGATTGGTGTGTCTTGGTAACCCCCTGCCCCGTGTTGAGGCTGCTCCACTTCTTCCTCCGCCCCATGCGATGGCGCCTGCTGACCCCCAGTCCCTTCAAGGTGTCGCGAATCTCGTCTAGAACCTTATCTTGTCGGCTCGTCGCCATGTTCACATGTTGGGTTATGTCTTGACGGAATCGATCCATTCTTCCCTCCAACAATTGCCTCACCTTGTCAATGGATTCATCTTGTTTCTTCAAGAGTGTATGCTGAAGCGAACCTTCCCCTTCACCGAGCTTTTCGAAGATTTCCTCCACTCTTTCCTCTAGCGCCGCCACCCTCTCCGGCGTCACCGTTAACGGAGTCGGCGACATTCCGGCTCTGATACCAAGTGCAACGGACTACGTGGTACGTCAATAAATAGCTAAGACGGGAATTGTTTGATTGATTAATGGCAGCTAAAAGCTTGCGAGAAAGATAACAATGGCTTTAGGCCATTACTCTCCAAGAGTTCCTTACAAATTTCCGCTTCCCTCTTCTACTCTTTTCTCACCTATTTATACTACTACAACTCATACTACAACTCATACATAATCGGACAAAACGCCTTAATTGCTAAATTTACTACAATTTGTCAACAAGCTAGAGTTACCACAGTTAATAAGCTAATACTCCAAAAGTGTCCCCTGCTACACCCAGATAACCGTTGCTTGTGTTGGTGTTGGTGGAGTGTCCTGCTGCCCCTGCTGTTCCTGTCCCCTCCTTTGCCTTCTGCTATACACCAAAATAGGTGGAGCTTGTGGGTGTATTGCAGACAAGCTCCCTTACTTCTGAAAACATCTTTTCTAGTAAAAAACCACTAATTTTGGTCTGGATCTAGAAATAGAGCAATTCTTATAAGACACAAGCTGCACTTTCCCACAAGTTAAGTGAAATAATGTATACCTACTTTCCAGTATACAAAATGGGAGATCATGCAATTTTCACATCAGTGAACTAGACGAGAGAATAAGTTAACACCCTGCTATTCATAACTGATGATAAACATGTGCAACATTGTATCAACTGCTAAATGCAATTATGTCTTGATCTTCAGTATTATAAGCAATTCATACACAAATTGCTTGCAAGCTTAAGGCAGCCAGACATAGAAATTCGGTAAGAAAAGGCAGAGATGATCTCCATTAACATAGATTAGACTTCAAGTTCTTCAGAAATTGTTAAAAGAGTTTCAAGTAGGGAATAGTCATAATATCAAGTAGCTCTATAAATCAGTAATTGCAAAATAGTATACCTTTACAGAAAGATGTTCTGTTGTAATTGGATATGATGACCAGAAGTGCTTTAGCAACTCCTGAATGGATGTCCAATGCTGAAAAGAATGGTGATGCAATTAGTAGCATAAACACCAATAGAAAAAATTCTAGAATCCAAACATGCCACATAAACACATAAGGACCATGAATATAATTACAATAAATGACAAATGAAGATTGACATGCAAATTATCTTTTATGATTGAGATCAACCAAGTTAGAATACTAGCTATACCTGAGTACCTGACCATTAAAAAATGTTATCAAATAAAGCAAACCACCAAGCTCATAACGTTTTATGACTACTCAGAACATAGATGTATATCACAATCACATGACTTAACTCTCCTCCAAGCAAATACCCATATATAGTTAACATTTAACAGTATATATCCATATTGGTCCCCTTTTGGTGTCCTACCTTTCTTTGCAACCAAGACAAAACTTGGTGGCATAAATGTGTTTGGTTGATTGATAAGAAACAAGAAAATGAAGGCAGTTTGAAAGAAGAGAGAGGATACGGGAAAAAGAGAGTGACACAGCTGAAAAGATAAAGGGAAGGAAATGATGGTCCACTAGCCAGAATACTGACTCTCATTGAAATTTGGGTATGACGAGCAGCTAGACATTTTAATTTATCTTACTAAGGCGTTTCCCAAAATTTTTGGTAAAGTATACTCACAAAATTGATGCCTTAAAAGGTGGATTTTGACAAAATCCTGCAAAGGTCAACCATTTTTAGCATAACATAGATATGAAACTTAGTAAATGGTCTACAAAAGCTATAGAGGGCCCAATAATAATAATAAACAGATATAGATTTTATTTATATAAATAAAAAAAAGGGGATATAAATGAGTAGTGAAGGTAGAGGATAAACCTTTTGGGACCTGCTATCTAGGGTCTCCCAGAAAATCATTGACTGCCAATGATTCCTATTAAGACTTTACATTCATATCTCCACTGAGCACTAAGTTGGAAATGTTCTAATTGTCTCAACCTAGAAACCCCATTAGTTCCCTAAAAAAAGCAATATGAATGTCTGAATTTGTCTAAGGTACAAGTCATTCAACACTATAGATGTTTAATAATAGCATCACGAGAGAATTGAACAATGCAGATACATCATAATTGATAGCCTAAAACTCATGCAATTTACCAATAAACAAGCAAAAGATTATTAATATATTTTTTTTTTAAAATTAAAATCCTTAGATGCAGCATATGGTCACATATTCTTGCAGACATGTAAAATATTATTAAGCCCAAAAAGATATTTGCTTACATTTAACAAATCTTCCTTCGTCCTGCTGGGTAATCTATCCAGAACAGTTTCCCGATTATTTCCCCCAAGATTATACTTCGTACTAGATATACTATGGGTCAAACTTGCCAAAACCTGAGTAAGAGTAATAATACATCAAAAATTCGTACATGAACAGAAAAACTATCCCTTCAAAAGCAGATGAAACAGTGAGGAAAAAACGAAAAATTACTGTAGATACACACACCTTAAAAGCAACTTCAGCTTTAATGATTGATGTCTGAAGTCCCACGGACTTGATATCAGATATGGATTCCCTCAAACAAGTATAAGCTTCCTGCGTGTTAATGTGGCAATTCACATGTCTAGCTCCAACAGCAGTGTCTCCCAGGGAATTCAGTGCATTGGCTTGTTGTGAAAAGAAATAATCTCTAGGGTCCTGAAACAATATAAGAGATGATGAAGATTCAGTTTATTTATACATCTGATGTTGGAGATGATGCAAATAAGCAAACCTTGATGCAAAGCGGAGCCACAGGGGGTTCATGAGGTGCTTGCAGATCCTCAATTTCTGTCATTCTACAAACTCTATTCAGTCGCTCTTGGTTATCGTTCATTTCGGATGTATCATTGGCCAATTCTACTGCAAACATCCATTTCCAGCTCAGATTGAGGGGTAGAAGAATATAATGGACAGTTTATACATTGAAATTGGAAGATGAAAAACTCACTAACCTTTTTTCATCCGAGCAAGTGCCTCCGCTACAATTCGAGTGTCCCCAATCACCACATCTAGCATAAGTTCAATAATACAACGGGAAAAAGGTTATATGCCTCAATTTTAGAGAAAAATTAGAGTTCTTTAGATTATCACAGTTAGCTGGTCAGATCTTAGAAATTTTGGAAGCCACTAACCTAGAGCCCTTCCCTCAAGAACAACAGCAGCATGTCGATTGAGATCTTGCGACAAGTTCCTCTTGTATTGGTCATAATGTGTCTGGGACTCTGCAACTTCTTTATTTCCATCTCGGTGATTACCATGATCCTATTTAATAAAAAGAGAAAAAGGGTAAGGAAATTTTAGAATAAACAACTTCATTTTGTGGCACAATAAGAAAGATGCCTTCAGGTGCTTCCATAAAAATACAGAACTTGGGATATGTAGGCAATGGGTCCAAATTAGGATATATGTGAAGCTTAAAGAACAAGAGCAGAAATACTAAGGGTGTACAATAATACTCAATATACCGGAAGGTGAGTGTAATCATCCCCTTGATCAGCTTCCATGTCCAACGTCGGATCAACCTTTCTTATCTGCACATTTCATTGCCACAATTAGTGTTGAAACAGGGCTTATTTATGGAAGCATAAAGGAGCGAGCACAAGAGAATATATCCTTTCAAGACCACCTTTCTACGAGCTTCACTTGCTAGTATATAATCCTGCTTTAGAAAAACAGCAAGCTGCTCATCTTCAGCAGCTTCTGCTGCAGCAGCTATGGCATTCTTGGTGCTGTGAAGATATTCTGCTCTGCAGTATTTGGTCCAAAAGTCTTTCTCGGACATCTGATATTAGGACAATAAATTGTACAAATTCAATTTATTTATACATTGAAAAGAGCTAATAACAAGTGCACAAAAAGTTTCTGGAAAATAAGAAAACCTACCCTTTTTGGCACATAAGTCAGAAAAGCCTGATGAACTGCTGGCTTCTCAGCAAAAATCTGACAAATTTAACAATAGATATACATTACCTTAACAGAAAAATCCACCAAGAAAAAAAAGTTACAGCTAATAAGGATGAAGGTTATACAACAGTCAAGAGCAGAAAAACAGTTGAAAAAGAGATGCTTGCTGGACTAATACTATTCAATTATAAACTCACCCCCAACAAATACAGAAGGGGAGTAAGGTCAAAATACGCCAAAATTGTTACAGGTATGACATACGCCAACCCTAAATAAACATTAGTATTGTAATAGTGGAAGCATGAACCCCCCCCCCCAGCTCAACTCAGTCAAAGCCTGGCCTAAGGTTGATTTAATTGAAACCAATCCTAATTCTAGTAAGTCCAAGCTCAGGTTGGTTTGCCCTAAATCATTTTTTCTTAATCATGGAGCCATGAAAAATTATTTGTAAAAAATGTCTTTTTTGGGAACAAGTTGGCATATTTAATATTTAATAAAATATTCATTATTAATTCAAAATTTGAACCAAATATGATTATATTATGCATGAAAAAATGATTGTATTAGTTGTTCAGTTTAAAGAAGATATTTTTAGAAATTTTTGACTTTTGCTACCATTAAAATGCACCACTTTGATTTTTGCTACCCACATAAATTTTTAATTTATTTTACTACCACTCAAAAGCTAAAAAAATAGGTTTTGCTACCACTTAACAGAATGTGTTACTAATTCCGTTTGTGGGGCCCACTTAATTACGTCCTTCCATTTTCTTCTTCTCTCCATGAACTTCATTCATAAACCCCCACCCCATCCGAAACCCCACCACTTCCCGACAGCCCCACCCATTATCCGTCAACCCCTAACCCTTAACAGCAGCCCTATCCACGTACCTCACCTCCACATCTGCCACCTCAACAACAACACTCTACACTCACAAAATGAATCAGCAGCATCCCACGCATCTCTAATCAGCCATCAACACATAACAACACTAACTCCTTAGTAGTCCATACACCACCTCCGCCCAATAATGGAAATCAGCACCAATTCCACGCTTCGCCGAGCATTTTTAACCGTTGGTGGTGTAAAGAGAGTATAACAGAAGTTGTATCTATTCCATTGATAATACACTTATTTATAGTAATACAATTGTACAGACCAAGAGCTACAAATTAGGAGAATAAAGTCAAAGATATTATTTACAGCTAATAGAAATCAATTACTAAAGTTAAGGGATGTGATTGATACTTATTAAAATCAATCACTGAAGTTAAGGAATATGATTGATACACCGGAAGGAAAAGATTGACTTGGCTAAGTCAATCCTTATCAGATGGATGGTGATGCTTGATGATGATTTTAATCAACGGTATTCTTATGAATGGGGGTGGGGGTGGGGGTGGGCAGTAACACCAGTTTTTTGGCCGACAAAACCCAATTAAAAACCCACACAAGCCAATTAAAAACCCAAATTAACATAACCCAATTTAAAACCCCAAATTTACATAACCCAATTTAAAACCCCAAATATGCTTCCCTACCTTTTTAAAAGTATGAATGAACTCTTATGAATAGTGTTGAGACTGTTATGCCCCTAAAAATGTTTATTTACGTATTTACCCCTTTCAAAAGTACGATGACCACACTTTATGAATAGTGTTGAGATAATAATGTCGCCAAAATGATTATTTACATATTTGCCCTCATTAATTTTAATTTTTTTTTTAACTCTTAAGAATAGTGTGTGGAGATTTATAACCCTAAAAATATTTGTTTACATATTTTCCCTAATTAACACTACTAACAATGCCAAACCGAAAGAACTTCTGGACATGGCTAGCTATAACGCGAACATCGTGCGCGTTAGCCGCCCTAGTGTTAAGAAAAAAAGTGTATGTATGTAGCCTTAAATTTTCTGGTAATGTTGGTATTCAACCTTTGTTCAAGCTTTTCATTGCCTTCGCCATTCGAAGGAGACAATAGGGGGCTTAGATAATAAGTTTGGCTTAACATTCCATCGTTGAACAGAGTGGGAAAAAAAAAGCATATGAATTTCCTTGAAGGGGGTAGGGTTTTGAAGGAGGTAGGGGTGGGGGCTTGAAGCGGTGGGGGTTTTGGATGGGGTTGCTGTTACGGGGTGGGGGTTGCCGGAGAATGGGTAGGGCTACCGAGAAGAGGTGGGGGTTTATGACTGAAGTTCATGGAGAGAGGAAGAAAATGGAAGGAAGTAATTAAGTGGGCCCCAAAAACGGAATTAGTAACTCATTATGTTAAGTGTTAGCAAAACCCATTTTTTTTTGCTTTTGGGTGGTAGTAAAATCAAATAAAAAAAAAATCAAATAAAAATTTAGATGGGTAGCAAAAATCAAAGTGGTGCATTTTAGTGGTAGCAAAATTCAAAATTTCCATATTTTCACATAAATATAAAATCTTTTCATTAAAGAATAGTTCAAAATGATTGGTGATTATTTTTTTATTGAGAAATTGCCATATTTGGTTATAGTTTTAGAAGCGATAAATGATTTTGTCTAATGTACTATTGTTTGTTTAGTGACATAATATTTTCGTTCAAGACTTTAAATAGTGAGAAGGGGGTAAGAACAAAGTACAGATATGGACCCCTTACTAGACGCCTTAAACTACCAAGATAAAATTGAGCAATCAACCTAAGAAGACGCTTCTATGTGCAATTTAACTGGTTGTCTTTTTTTATTTCTTGTTTTCTTCTAGGAAGGTTTCGAGAAACTCAAGTACCATTGTAAATCTTGCGTGATAGAAGGAAAATGAACATCAACAAAAAAAGCAAAGATCTCACTACATGAAGATGAAATAAAAAAAGCCAGGAAAGTCCAATGTACAGAAATCTTGGTACTTTTTATTCCAAAGAGGAATCAAGCAAAGAATTAGACGAATGGGGTAATACCTGATGAATGATTTCTGGTGTCAAGTTAAAGGTAACTTTATTTGTCTGCAAGGCAAAAAAAGAAGAGAGAATAAACACATTGTTAAAAACCATAGTCTTACCATGCAACAAAAAGATGACAGAAGAACTAGTCAATGCATCATGCATGAGCAATAAAAGGTATTATAACACTAAGCACTTTTTATAACTTCCTACTTAAAATCTTTAATTCGCAAAACCCAGATCTAGTATGTTAAGAAGGCAGCTACTCTGTAGGTTTTAAAGAATTTCAGAAAATTTTGGCATCATACTTTCTGCATTATGGACAGATGACAAGGTAACAATTTACTACACTAGTTTAAACAACTTTCATTCCACAATCACAGCAATAGAATCTAGTCATCTCATTAAGCATGATCAGGTGTCACCATATAGTAATCAAGACCAATTCTGAAGTATAAGCCTTTTAGTAACTTAGCATCTCGGAACAGGATGGTGCCATACTTACAAACTATTCTAGTTAAGTTTGGCTTTAGAAATAAGAAAATGAGCAGAGAGTTGCAACTTCATAATCACGACAGATGACTGTCCAAAAAACGCATAATATAAACACCTATGAAGTTCTCTACAGTAAAATACGTTTAAGACCAAATTTCTTGACATCCAGAAGTACAATTTTTTATGATAAATTATCTGCCTGAAATGGGAAAGAAATGATTCTCTAACATTCAATTCCCAAACTCAAGTTCTCTGCCACATAAACAATGCACTAGGAATACAACAAACTTCCGCTTCACTCAAAAAAGGACAACAATGTGTCTCCAGAACTCCAACATATTGAAGACAATGAAACCGTGAAGAATGATTGATTTTTCTATTGAGATAGAAAAGATAGATTGTGATGCTCAGAAATCATATCTAAGGGTGTAGATGAGCTTGGCGTAGTCATGAGCTACAAGAACTCAGTTTGATCAAAATTCATCCAAAGCCCCACTTGAAATTTAAATGATTTCAGCTGTAAACAGCCATGCTCTTCTAAAAAGGCTCATAAGCAAGCTTGAACATAAGAATGAAAGAGAATATTTCACAAAAAAACCCTACAAAAACCAGAGAAAAAAATATAGGTACTTCTAGAAAAGCCCAGCATAGAGTCCATAACCTCAAATTAATGATATGTGGTTTGCTGTCTTTGTAAATACAGAGGCTGCAAAGAGTCCCCCACCCTCCCCCAAAATAGCGTGCACATACACACTCTATACTGATTCATCTAATCCAGCACACTCAACAGCTTATTTTATGGAGTGAGTGAGAGAAAGAGATTTCATTCAGTACCCGACCATCAGTCAGTGGCTTGATGTCTGATATCATAGCACTTTTAAATCCCACTCGCTGGGTTGAAGATGATCTTTTATTTCCACTATCTAACAATTTCTGCAGAGTATCATCAACAAGAGAAAAAAAAAAGTTATTACTTTTGAGTTTACCAAATAAATCATGTTTATGAGAGAGTGAAGATATGGAAAAAGTATCAGCTATTAGTGATATCAAGAATAACTGGTGAACATAGTCAAAAACACAAATTCTGTTGAGTTACCTTTCTAGTTGCCCAGAACTCATCCTCTGTCAAAATTTTACCAATTACCAACTGTTTATGTAGTTTCATAAGCTCACTGCAAAGAATAACCAATATCAATATTCATAAACCTTGTGGGAACAAAACATAAGAAAAATATGAGCTTCCTTTGCCCTCGCCATGGTAATTTCCTGAGCTAATGGGCCTGCAAGGCTCCTATCAGTACAAATGGAAATCCTTCGACTTTTAACACTGTTGGTCTGTTACCTGTCTTCTTGCAAAAGTTTTATTCGTCGCTCCATTTCTTCTGAACTTAATTGAGCAGGTCCTTCAGAATCCTTTTTGGGAACATCTGGGTGCTTCTCAAGGGCCTTGGCTGTTCACAAGGTGTCATGCTAAATATCATCAGGACCAAAAACTTTAACCATACCCTACATTTAAAAAAAAGGGATAGGAATTTCATGTCATAAAGTGAAAAAGTACAAGCAACATCATTAAAATATAGGTCTTGGGAACTTGATTTAATTAAAATGTTGCAATAGTAGATTATGCTCTAGTAAGTTCTGGCAGAAAAAATGTACCCCCCCTAAATAAAAAGGCAATCTTAACAGGGTAATAGTTATACAAAGGCCTTGTTTGGTAACAAGATGATTGATGAGATTCTAGCTTTTTAAGAGCAATTAGATGATTTAACCACATAATCAGCTATTTTTGGTGGTTGAAAAACAGATAATTTAAAGAGTTCTTTGGAGTTCGATAATCTATTTTAAACAGGTTGCTCGACCAACTTTTTGTAAGAGTTGTTTTAGCAATTTCCTGCTAAAAGCTATTTTGGTGTATGGTGATTGGTTAAAGCAACTAATGCGACTAACTAGTCAAAATGGATATGTCGGCCAGTTACCAGCTAATTATCAAACAGGGCCTAAACCCATGTCTCATAAGAAGTGGTGGGATCAATGAAGCAACTACTTGACATTGATTGGCTTAGTATGCATATGTTACATTTATAAAATCAGACATAACTTTGAAAAAAACTAAATATTCTGTCACAAAATACCAAAAAAAATCTACTGATCAGGCAAAATATCATTCTACAATCCACAGCATGACTACTATTAAAATATTAGAATTCAGGATAGCAAAACCCCACAGTTATATAGACTTCAAATGGCGGGAACACAGTGACAAGAGCATAATCAGGAAAAAAATAAATAAATAAATAATAATAAATAAATTAATAAATAATAAAATAAAATTCTCATAACAGCTTCTTCAGCCTCTGGATCCATGCAATCTGAAACAAGAACTCTGCCTTCCCTTTTTATCATACAAGATTGATATCAAATTGGCTCAAATGACCAAACAACAAATCCTTCCACTGAACTCAGTATCCTATACCCCATGCCAAGCATAGATATCTCATCAAAATATCTTTTATTCCCATAAACATCAGGACATCAACATAGACAAAACAAAGATAGCTAAGAGAAAAATGCACTGTATTTAACACCAGCATTTCATCAATTTAGTATGCACATGATATCTGAGAGTATCTAATTAACAGAAGACCAAGCAATGTTCTACCTAGCAGCAACCTGTCCTAAACATTAGTATAACTCAATAAGGGGGAAAAGACAACAAAACCTAAAATTTCACTTGTGCTACTGTGCGGGTAGATATGTGCATACCAACTTGTGACTATTAGCTAGGTTCCAGATGATAACATAGCACAAATTCATATACATGTAAAAATCAATCTTGGATCACATCTGATTTATAAGTCAGAAAGTCACTTTTTGCAATGTTGCAAATCATGTATGACATAGTTGGATTCACAGAGCACTAACAAACCTAAGTGGTGCTATAGACCAATTTTCAGCAAAATTCCTCAAAAGATAATGTTAGACATCCAAAAATATATAATTAATGTCATAGTTCAATTTTAACTTACTCACAAAATCCCGACACATATCTCTATCACTGAAGTTCTCAAATTCAAATATATACCCTTCTGATCCTTCACCCTGGAATCAAAGATAACAACAAGAATCAAATAAACAACTTTCAGTCAACTAGAGTACATCAAACGATAAAGTTTCTGAGTTACATAGAACAACAGAGCCATTTTTATGCTGATAGAAAGAAGGCATGGCTACTAGTTTAAGCTAATTGTATTAGCTGATTAGTGAGTAGTAATAACTGAATTCAAACCCAGATAAAGGAGGTGTTTGGTTCACAAAATCTAGGTGTGAGGTAGGGGTTTAGAATGGTTTAAGCCCATATCATGTGTTTTTGATGATTTTAGTCTTTTAAACCCCATACTATAAACCCCCAAGGTTTGTGATTTAGAAATCTAGGTTGTGTGTGTGTGTGTGTTGGGGGGGGGGGGGGGGGCTCATATCAAATTACTTTAGACAATACAAGGAAAAAACAGAACCTTCTTCAGCAGATTAAGTAATGCCTGTTTACTTGATCCTTCTTTGGTGACTCTGTGAGCTGAATAAACAGGAAGGAAAACAATTAGTCAATCAAAGAGACATCCTTACAAAGCATAAGTCACCAAAGATATAAGATGATTGATTGCTAGAACCACGTTGAGATAAGTATTACAATCTCTTTTGTCAACAAAAAAATAATATGAAATCAAGTTCCAACCTCCCAACCCACAAGGCCATGAGCCAGATATGACGTTAGCAGTAACAGATAATAGCCATATGGTAGTGCTGTCTATTTACATGCTTTACCATCAGACATATGAAAGAACCAGCATACAGGAGCTCATGAATAGATAACAAGTTAGCTAATAAAATAGAAAGTAGATATTCTCCAAATTAGTTGGGTATATAGCTCTTGGATGCTGACCCCAAAAGGGCTATACTGAGTGTATTTGATAGCTACAGGGGCCTTAAGAAATATTTCCTCGGCAAAGGTGGGTTTGGAAACGTTTAAATGTGCACAAGAGCTTCATTAGTGGTTGGAGGTGCTTGGAACCTTGGAGTCGTGGATGGTTGAGAAATGCTGCTAGTTTGGCTGCTATATGGGTCAATGATGATCCTAGTAGCACCATCTGAGCAGAGACCCCTGAGACCCACAATCATCTTCTTTTACCTATACCTAACGTCAAGCATGTATTCTGGTAAATGGAGAGGTCATAGGTTAAGACTTAGTAGTTACTATAGATCTTACCTTAATGATAAGAAGGAACGTCTAAAAGATTTCATCGCCTTTTTACTATAATGAAGGAGTGTGACGCTTTGTGCTTTAAAATCCTTGATAATTGGACCCATGTGTTGAATTGCATACTCAGATTACTCGTTCTTAGCTATTGAGCTTTCAGTGTTACATATATAGAAAAACTAGGTTCACTTAGCCCTTACAAAAACAATTTGCCCCAAAATAAAGTTCAACAAGCTCTAATGGTCTTAGTTACAAGCACAAATTAAGCCAAAACTTGTCTTGAAAGCATGATTCACTAAATGTGCTTTTATGGCTCCCTTATTAATCACATCAATTTACTTATCACCTCCTTGAAATAAATCAGATAGTTCACTTCATGACCACATATAAGGAATGCAGAAATCAAGTGCTATTTCCAGCCTCCCTCACAAACCAACAATGGAAATGATGGGGTTATGCAAAAATCACTTGAATATTCACTAAAATTAAATTGGGGGTATCCGGTATCCTCAATACATTTTTGGATCAATCTATGTCCCTGATTAATGTACAATAATTCCTTCATGATTTCATAGAAATTCCAGCACTTCTAACTCCCATGGCCTTTGAGCATGAAAATCTACAGCTTTCTCTCATGCAACCCCAGAGAATTTAAGTTATCAAGAACTCAGCCATTACCTGAGAAACATCACATACACTGATATACACCGCAATCTCCCTCTACCTCATGACACCGAATACAGCCAACCATTTCTTGCACACTCTCTCAGGACAAACAAAAAAACAGCAATACTATAGTACATATCAAAAAACCTCATCTTCATCGCACCCTACTCAATTTGCGCGATTAACAGATTAGCCCTACTAACCTCAATTTTGCTTCTCATTTAAATACAACTCATAAAAACCAAAACCCAATTTTCTACCCCAATTGAGCAGCAAGAATAGCATTGGTACACCTAACTCTAGACATACTTGATAACATAATAAACCGAATCCTGTCACAAAACTACTAATAAATCATTCATCCATTACTCAATCAAACAAAAACCAATTTTAGTACCTTTAATGGAATTGAAACGAACTCGAAGCTTCGTTCCAGAAGTGGGATCATTGGGAGCAAAAACAAACTCATCCATAGTCTGCAACAAGAAACAAAAACAATATACATTCAAAATTCAACCGATTACCAAACTTGAATTGGGAAAAAAAAACCCAGAAAAATTATGAATTTGAATACCATCTTCAAAACACCAGGGTTTCCGGGGGCCTTCGGAGAAACTTTATACTTTGCACGCTTCACCAACATCTCACCACCAGACCCCATTTTTGATTCAATTCGATCAAAAAAAATTCAATTGATTGGAAATCCTTCGACTTTCAATTGGGTAATGTATAGTATTATTAAATCAAAAAATCAAATTTTTAATGAAGTTAAAATGAAAATGGAGAATTTGGGTGGAAAATTCGGTCAGAAATCATGAATATCGGTAATCTATTCTAAATTGAGCAGTTTCATGTGTAAAATACAGTCCTCTTAATAGAGAGTGTGTGTTTTTGCAGTTGTTTAAAGCTAGCGTTTGCATAAGGCTAGAAATAATTGGAGATTTTGGTTACTTTTTCAAAGGAAACTCCTTGTTTAGGAAATTCTAGAATGGTTCTTTAAAAGAAAGACGTCATAATCTTTTAATCTCAATTACAAGTATTAATTTATTAGAAATGATTTGTTTTAGGAAGACTTCAAACGAATAAAGACGCGTAAGCTAGCTTTGGGAGGTGATTGATATACTAACCCTCTTCGATGCCTAAGTCATCTTGCTAAAGAGAAGATTTATGTTCAATCTATGCCTCTTAGTGCACAAGTGTAGCGTGAAGTGGTGTACCTCTCTAGTTCCCTTTAGAGTGTGAGTTATGACTATAACTAACGGTGTATGTTTTTGTGAAGATTAGGTTGATTTTTAGTTATTTGTGAAGGGGAAAACATAAGAATAAATCATGATCAAATATAGATTTTGAGCTACTTCATTCTTACAAGTCCAATGAATACATTAATACTGATATTGAACTAATTAGAGAAAAACAATACAGCCAATAAGGTTCCAATATTACTTTTTTGGGTGTAGAGAGAATTGTAACTTGCAAGAGCAATAATGTGGTAGAAGAGAATCGATCCTAGATTTCCAGGTCTTGGGTACCGCCTACAAAACTTTGACATTCATTCGTAAAATAAAAGTGCATGAGGGAACGACGGTAAAGAAAAATGCATCGCTAACTTGAAAGATGAAGAACAGTAGTTGGTATATCCCATTGTCAGAAAATGTGTAGAATGGTAGTTACGCACATTATTACATCTAATGATCTGAGATATAGTTTCACTTTATGACAATATTTATAAGAATTCATGCACACTTCTTTGAAATTGATAAAACAAGTAAATCAAATATTAGTACTCCACCAAACTTTGACTGATCACTTCATACTTCATAGTGATCAGTTTCATGGGCTCATCAACAAGAGGAGAGGAGTACCAGACGTTGCTGCTTGGGTTAGACTCCCATTCACGAATCCCTGACCTGTCTTCCGATGTAATTGAAGATTTCTTGGCCCACAAGCCAGTGGCCGCGAGGTGGTGGACTCGCCTCATTGCTTGGGAGTCTAGGCTTTTGTGGATCCTCTCTGGAGCTTCCATTGTAGTGTCTATCTTTAACTACATGCTTACCTTTGTCACACTCATGTTTACTGGTCATTTGGGTGCCTTGGAGCTTGCTGGTGCCTCTGTTGCTACCGTTGGGATTCAGGGCCTTGCTTATGGAATCATGGTATGTATCATATTGCATTAGCTAATTGTCTAGGATTATCAATGATTTTAGTTTGAGTTGTAATTTTTCCTATGTTTGATTCTATGTTTCGTAGTTGGGAATGGCCAGTGCAGTACAAACAGTGTGTGGACAAGCCTATGGTGCAAAGAAATACTCGTCCATGGGGATCATATGCCAAAAGGCGATCATACTTCATCTAGGAGCAGCCATACTCTTGACCTTCTTGTACTGGTTCTCAGGTTCTGTCCTCAAAGCCATAGGTCAATCAGAGAGCATAGCGGAGCAAGGACAGATTTTTGCTCGCGGTATAATCCTCCAGTTATATGCATTTGCTATAAGCTGTCCGATGCAGAGGTTCCTTCAAGCTCAAAATATTGTCAACCCTTTAGCATACATGTCAGTTGGAGTGTTCTCTTTGCATATACTCTTCACTTGGTTGGTTGTCGAAGTTTGGGACTATGGACTTCTTGGGGCTGCTCTTACTCTGAGTATCTCCTGGTGGATTTTAGTCATTGTGAATGTGCTTTACATAATTTTTAGTCCTAAGTGTAAGGAGAGTTGGACTGGACTCTCTTTCAAGGCTTTCACAGGAATCTGGCCATATTTTAAGCTTACAGTTGCTTCTGCTGTCATGTTATGGTAAGTGATTATGTATTCTTTATGAATCTGCTTGCAAAATGTGTGATTTTTTGCTTAGTTTTAGTCTAACTCGTCGCTAGATTTCTGACATACAGCTTAGAGATTTGGTACAATCAAGGATTGGTGCTTATATCAGGGCTGTTATCTAATCCCACAATATCACTAGACTCGATTTCTATATGGTAATTAAGTTGATAACATATAAATTACATTCTTGAGTACGTATTAGATTTTCATCTGGTTTTTGCTTTATGTCTAATGTTCCTCTTTAACTTTAACTAACTAGCTTTTATTCATAATGATTGAAAATTCCAGCATGTCTTACTTGAACTGGGACATGCAGTTTATGTTAGGACTAGCTGCAGCAGCCAGGTAATCAGCTGAAGCCGAAATATATGCTTACACCTTATCAGTAAAATTTAGGAGAATTGTTATATTTTTCTCCGATTTTCTGTCTGACTACTATATGGTTGTATGATCATACAGTGTAAGAGTGAGTAACGAGCTAGGAGCAGCACACCCATCAGTGGCAAAATTCTCGGTGCTGGTAGTAAATGGGACAAGTATACTCATCAGTATAGTGTTCAGTGCTGTTGTGTTGATATTCAAAGTTGCGTTAAGCAAGGCTTTTACCACTGACTCAGAGGTCATAGCAGCTGTATCTGACTTAACTCCTTTGCTCGCCATCTCAGTTCTCTTGAATGGCGTCCAGCCTATCCTCTCTGGTAAGAAAAACATATGCAGTTTTTAATGTACCAATATACATGTCTTTGCTGCTAAATAGGAATAATGTGGTTTAATTTTAAAGAGTGATCTTGTATTTTTCAAAGCATGTAGATTAACATTCACTTTGTTACATTGTCAACTTCTTTTTGTTTGACTTTATTTTTAGGGGTGGCAATTGGGAGTGGATGGCAAGCTCTTGTGGCGTATGTGAATCTAACAACATATTACATTATCGGTCTCCCAATTGGCTGTGTACTAGGTTTCAAGACAAGCTTAGGAGTTGCAGTAAGTATTAATCTGTCGTCGTCCTCCATTCGTAGGACTATTACTTACATTAAAACAATCTAAATTTCAGGGGATATGGTGGGGGATGATCATCGGTGTTCTGTTACAAACTGCAACATTGATAATTCTGACTGCTCGAACCAACTGGAACACTGAGGTACAATATACATGTAGAACAAGTAAATATTTCTGATATTTCTTGTGTTTATGTACCATAAGTTGAACTTAGTGTGCATATGTCATTGACATCATGACAACTTGTCTTTTTGCATAATTAAATAGGTTGAGAAGGCGATTGAACGTTTACGGAACTCAGCAAATGAAGAGACGACAGCTTTAATCTTGGAGAACACTACATAACTAGCACAAATTTTGGCTTTGACGGAACATTAATAAGCAGTTTTGTCTAGTTTGTTTGTCCACACATTCTAATGTCATATTCAACTAATCAACTTGGTGGCTTTATGGAGTGAAAGTGACTATTTCACAAATTTTCTACACGTTTAATTTCTTTGGACATCACTACTCTATCAACAAATATAACCATTTCAATATCATTTACCCCTTGTATGATCAATTCCAGTTTAGCTGTTGCTTCATTGTCTCATTGCCGTCATTGGTAATTATTTCTAATCCTGCATCACCAATAACTTCAAACAATCGACTAATCACTCGAGGTTGGTGTAAACAAGAAGATCAACCTTTATCTAAGTCTAAAGATGTGAACATAAATTATATTCGCACAAAGAAGAATAACTTCTGCTAAGATATCTACATCAACATTAACCTGCTGTTGCATCCTTTGTTGTACAGTAGGAAACATGATATTGACACGAGTACCGCCTTTTTGACTACAAAACATCAAAATAATATCGCAATCAAGGTCATCTGTATGATTGACTGATTAAGAGACCTTTGCAGCAATAATGAGTAGACAAATACAGATTACAAAGTAGCATATGTATACTTACAAGTGTTCGTTACAGCATGCAGATCAAATATACTCGATTTTTTTCATATCTTATATACGAGTTTAATACGTAGGAGTACAAAAACAGCTAATGTAAATATGCATTCATTTACCAGATAAAAGTACATGTAAAGCGACATTGTGCAAACCCTCGATACAGCTTCTCATTTATTAAGCAGCTAATATATGAAAATAAGCCTTGTGCAAACACCAGATACAGCTTTTTATTTATTTTACCAGATACATGGATGAAACGCGACATAGAAGAACTAAGTAGTTTAATCTGAAACTTAGAAACATTTTTTTTTTCTCAGTTACAATGTAACATAGTGTTTGCTCACTTTCACGTAGGCTTGAATTGTACTTAATTTTTGAATAGGCAAGAAATCAAGTTTTTCAGTTTGGCTCCAAAGGCAGAGAGTGAACCATCAACACTCATATCTGTCTTCTTATCAAATTGGAATGGCTCTGTTGGTCTAGTCGCGTCCAGAAGAACATCAACAGGAATTTTCGGCTTTGATGGTCCTAATGGCTCAATGGAGTTTCCATACTTCTCTATGTCTGGACAGTAATTCTGAAAACAACAAAAGTGAAGATATAATTTAGAAAACTCTCGTCATGAAAAATGTCCTGCTATATTGACAGTATCCAAAAACAAACTAATTGTGCATACTTTAAATTTTCAGGGCACGTTGTGCACAAGTTAGATGAAAAGGGTATTGCGTGAATTTTGCAGAAGTACAATGAGAGGGAGGGTGTGCTTACTTGGTTAGCATGCATTCGCTTGACAAACTTCTTAAACAGATTGAAGTTATTATATTCCAGTAGATCGTTAGAAATACGAAGATAAGTAAACCCAAACATCTTCAGTGCTGGTGCTCCATTGCTGTTAACACCATTCGGGCGAGCATTTAACAGGATTTGATTGTAAGCTGTGCTGTCATATCTTGGAAGTGCATTTTCACCTGCAACTTTAACGTTCTCTTTCCATCCATCACTTAATACCTGCAAATTAATCACTTTTTATAGGTCAATATATATTCATTCTCAGAACAGGTGAATGGTGCTCTAACAAGTTAAAATTTCGTTCATTATTTCAGTTAATGCCTCAGAATTATAACAAGTCACTCCAAGATCAGATTGTTGCGACTGGTTTTATAAAATTCTCATTATTCTGATTAGTTATTATGTATACTAACATGAAACTATGATGATTTCCTGACCTGTCGAACAAGTGCTTCCGGACCACTGTAAGCTTCAGAAGATTGTTCAGTGTCCCTCATTTCAAGACATGTGAAATTCAAGATGGCATTGTGCCTAGTAAGCATCCTTGCAATTGGCCGATATCCATCTCTACGATACAAGTTATAGTACCCTGCAGTAAGTTCAGCAGCATGACAATGATAGTTGAACCACCAATGAATCCCTGATACCTTCATATTAATTAATTAATACAGCGTAATTAGTACAAGATTACATCAAAGCCATGTCAAAGTTTGTGTCAAGTTATCATTAATGAAATATGTATGTCAATGTTAAAGGAGCGAATTGATGACCATATGTATTAAGATCACACTCCCAAACTTGTTACGTACTCACCTTAACCGCTAACTTGAGTGTGCAACCACGGAATGCTTTGTTAGCTTCTTCCAAGATCTGATCACCATGGTAAATTAACTTGGTGGAGTACCAAGTCAAGAAGAAGACTCCTTTATCAGATTTGTAAGTTCCATTCCTTCTGAAAAAACCTGTTTCTTCAGGAGTGTCATTGTATTTTCCGGCATCAGTTGGCAGCTCCCATTCAGGATGCCCTGCTTCTTTTGCTGCCTTCTTAAAGTCTGCTGCCATATATTTGTCATAACACTGTAAAAAAAAAAAAAAAAAAAAAAAACACAAAGGGCATGTTAAAATACGAGTCTGATCAAACAAAATCCGAGTCTGAGTCAAAATCTAGATAAACGTTGTCAGAATCTGAACATAGGCATATTTTAGAGACGAAAGGAGTACATATAATTATACTTCATACCGAAGTGTATTACCTGAAATTCTCCGATTCCTGGAAAAACCCATCCTTGAGACTCGGGATAAGAAGGGTATCGTAGCTCCCCTGCTGGACCTGCACCTACTTCGATGTCCACTATGGTTCCCGCCTCAAAGAACTCCGACATATTCTCTCTAAAACTCTTCATGAAATCGCTGTACATCTGTACATACAAATTACATACATCAGTACTAGCACATTATTACTTGATCATGTAAGAACACAAAAACAGAACAAATTCTGTATGTAAACATGTTACCTGGCCTTTGTAAAAAAAAAACAAAAAACAAAAAAACAAAAAAAAACATGTTACCTGGATAGGTGTCCGGCCTTCAAAGAGAGGCTCATTATCGACACCAAGGGAAAGGTACTCGACGTTCCTAGTACCATCAAGATTGGTATAAAAGACATCGTTGTTGGATCTACCAATGTTGAGAACCCACTCAGGGAGGGGGATAGTGACAACATCCCCTACATTGCCTCCACATTGATGGAAAGACATAATAGCTTGGATTTTCAAGCCATATTCCTGCACGACTTGAAACAGACGTCGATAAGCCCTCCAATCGTACTGCTTTGGACCTTGGCCTTCTATTATTCCCCACCACACGTCCACCATTATTCCATCTACACCGGCTTCTTTTAGTTTCTCTAGTTGCTTCCTTGTGCCTTCCTCATCTTTGAATGAATTTCGACGAGATACAACTCCTAACTGTACAATGTCATAAAAAACAAGGGAATGTAAGAAATCTACGTTGTAAAAAATTTCACACTACTTAGAACTTGAGATCTTGAACCATGGTCTTTAAGACCGCGGTTAGAACTTAGAACCATATTTGGTCATTAAGACCGCGGTTTAGAATACCTGTGGTCATTTTGCAATATATTGCGTGACCACAGTCTTCAGGACTGTGGCCATCTAGACTGCAGTCAGCCAGGCCAGTGCCTATATACCAATATCTTAAACCGCGGTCTTAATTGTATTTTTTTTTTTTTTTAACATACTTAATTGTACTTTGTTATGTAGGACAGTAGGAATGTCATTTTACATGCCTATAAATAATCTGATATTAGTACTATAAATTTACAGTATAATGAAAGATTAATGTACTTAAAATAACTTAGAGGGTATCCGAGTTGATTAGGACTTACTGGTAGCATCACATAGACAGGAACGTAGTTTAAGAGCATCTTGTTAAAACCCAGCTTCTGCACGTTAGAAGTACAACAAAAACAAGGTTAACAACATTATATAGTATGACATGCAAGTACCAATGAAATACATAGTACAGTACTTTCATAGAAGCTAAGTAATAGTCTATTAGTAGAATGCGTAGTATTGTATAGTAGATGTCAACTTAACTTAGCAAAAATGATAGCATAGTTGGTTAAGTGTTATATGGATTGACACTCAGGAGATTAAATCTAGTTTACATCATTATTCTTTAATTTGCAGCTTTTTACATACAAAAGAATATAATTGAATATGCATGTCCTCATCCTTAATAGTTGAGTTGCACGTCCAAATATGAATGCATCTTATCATCCAGATAGTCCAGTTGTAAATTCTCCAATATGCACGAGTACTTATAAAGTGCCAGCTACAAGGTAAGAAGAAATACTCTATCGATTTAAAACCTCTCAAAGATTAACCCTGCTACTCAAGTCAGGTTATCACTTTGAGAAGCGTGGGGGATGGGTAAAGAAATATATGTCCTCAAAGTATTTTTAGTGGGGATTGAAAGATCATTTCCTTACCACAAATTAACACTTTATTGGACACTCATATAGAGTAGTAGTTAGCTATTAATAAATTCGTATTTAAAACTAACAAGCTTATTGGGAGAGATTATCTTAAAGTGACCACCAATGTTTGAAATATTAGATTTCAATTGATAAGTGAACATATAATATAAAATGAAGAGCGAGAGTATGTATGTAATAAATACCTTGTACTCGAAACTTGGCTTATCCATGATTGTGTATTTTGCTTGAACTTTGTTTTGCCAACCAAGTTTTGAGCATAAAATAGAGCACAATTGTAGCTTGGAAGGTTGAGGTTTCTTCTTCAAGATGTGCTTCTTATTTATACTACTCATGGAGTAAAGATTAGAGTGAAGTGTTCGAGTTTCAGCACGTGCATAATTATTCATTTTAATATAATTTAATTAATTTTTTTTAAGTTAGGTGATACAATAATGACTGGGCTACAAAACTTTAAATGACACGAGATATTCTTATCAACAATTTTATGGTGCGAGTCAATTAACGGTACGTTCATATGCCACGCCAATTGATTGATTTTTTTTGCTAAGGTATGGGTGGTTGGAATTGCTTCATCTTGTTTGCATTCCGTTAAACCTATGAAAACACTAGGATGTATCATGTATTAGTGTACTACAATGAAGTTGTGTGAAAGGAACATTGTCTTATCCTTACCAGAATATCTAACACTATGTAGCAAAAAAGGTTTGACTCAATTGATAAGACTCTTTTCTCGGATTTTTGAGGTTTTATACTTTGGGGGTTCGAATCTTGCTAAGTGAGGATGCTTTCAAGGTGTGAATTTTCTTAACTTTTCCAAGAACCTGGTGTATAGATGTTAAACCAAATAAATTGTAAGGGTTAAAGTTTGTTTAAAGACCGCCATGAGTATTACTTGTATGTATTTTAAATAAAGAGTTTAGGTACTTTTACAAAGTATTAGGTGAGTCTGTTGCACCACCATGAGTCCACTTAACCAATGTATAAAATTCCAAAACTGATGTGTCCTATAACTATATGAGATTTTCAAAAATTTACATGAAATATCCTAAAACTTGTATCTAATATTTTAAAAGTTAAGATGTTCAAAAACTTATATAAAATGTCTATTAATTTTTATCTATCTCATCATGAATTCAGGCTCATACAATACCTTTTCAAGTACTTTGACTTCTTCTTTTCAAAATAGTCTAGACTCAAGTGTATGTTTTATAAAGTTCGTCTAATTTTTTTTCTTAGGATGTTTCGAAAACTTCAACTCACTTTTTACATTGTCAAATTTTGACAGATCTCATTAACTATCATACTACACACTATTTGACAAGTTCACCTTATTTTTATTTTTTTTTTTGGTAGAAAATCAGAGCATATTATTACTCCAGACTACTTAAATCTAGCAGCACAGCATTACAAGCACAATGTGGCACTTGTTCTAACCACACTCTCATCTCACCATAATCTCTGCTACCTCTAGCTAAGGCACAATTGCCCTCTCTACCAACTTGTGAAAAGGAAATACTAGAGCAAGAACTAGCCAAGAGAAGAATATCACTAACAATAACACCAAACGCTGAAGTTTCACATTTCCCATGCTGTAAATACTGGTAAAGCTTGCTAAATCACGAAGTCCAAAGCAATGGTCAGGCAATGTCTTGCTCATACTCACCCACCATATTCATTGCCTTGCAAATCACCTTATTTTCAGTTGTTTCAGGTCTCATAAGTTGAGATAAGAAAGTTGATAAGGGTCACCTCATGTTCAAATTACAACTAAAATAAGTTTTAGTAAAATCTAATGTTCAAGTCAGTTCATATAATTTAAGTTAATATAAGTTCCAATAAGTTAAATTAGGTGAATAAAACACACTCTTATTATATCTACAAATTTTTTACAACTAAAATAAGTTTTAGTAAAGTCTAATGTTCAAGTCAGTTCATATAATTTAAGTTAATATAAGTTCCAATTAGTTAAATTAGGTGAATAAAACACACTCTTATTATATCTACAAATTTTTTACTCAATAATAATTCATACTTTACTTGACTTTTAATTAGTCGATTAAATTTGTGTCTTTATGGTCCTTATAGGAATGATACCAAAGACTTGTAATCAAATGCACCTACAAAGTAATGTTTTGTTCAACTTTCACATCATGTAAAAAATGATATGGTTGTCATGGTCCTCATGGATGTTGAAATGTTCCACGCTATTCTTGCCGAATCTTTATATTTTTTCCCTCCAAAATAATGAAATCTCCAAAAAGAAAAATACTACTTATAAAAATAATAAAGTAACCATATAAGCTTACATGGACTAAGCAATTTTTACCATAAAATTTTGGTAGCAAAGCGATTTTGACCTTTTGGTTTGTTGTGAAGTCATTTTCATAACATTATTGCCTTATGATCTCAGCTTGATTATTGGGCATGAAAACGAGATTTAATGTGTGGAGAATTGAAGGTGTTTGGCTAACTGATTACCTCATTATGTATGTAAAGGTTTTTTTAATATAAAGGTAAAGGGAAAAAAAAAATAAGGTAATAGGAGATTTACCTCACGAGGGGAACTCCTAATGCAATTATGTATTTAGAGTTACAGACTAGAGTTAGGTAAGTAGAAATCTAAGTACTTGTATACATTAAGTTTACATAAAATTACGTACATTCCATCTATATTCAAGATGCTTTATCAAGTACTCGTAATCTTGTAACACTATAATTGGTTTGTTGTTAGAGAGGCTACGTGACTTTGAGGTAACGAATTTACACTTCATTAGGGGTTGATGGTGAGAATTCTAGCTCTTATCCAATCCCCCAAACTCAAGTATATGATTTTCTAAGTTTGGATGTGTTAACTTATGTGAGGTAACGATCGATGATTATATATTTAAAATATTATTGACCAATATAATTTGATCTGGCGTAGCTGCAGAAGATTTGTATCTTACGACTTGAAGAGTTGGTCAATTAAAACTCACGATATAAATCCCATTACTCCAGTAGAGGTACTTAGTAGGTGAGATTCTCTTTCTTTTTGTACCCATTACTAAGGGGGGCTAGTGGGCTAGAGTGCTAATGTAATCCCCCGTATTTTTAAATATTTTATAAATGAAATTTTATTTTATTTATAATATTTATTTGTATTTTTCCAGAATTTAATTTTAAAAGTTTTAAATTATTAATTGGGTCAAAAATTATTTTAGGTTAAATTATTTTATGAACCTATATCCTACAACCCATTAACATAAAAACAAAGTCTAACTCATTTGTTTATTTAATTGGCCCATTATTTTCATGAGACCCAATTCTACCCTACAATTCTCTCCTATAAATACCCCATGAATCTCCAAATTTTCCCCCACACAAAAAGGTTAATCTTTATTTATTTTCCCTTTATTTTCTTTATTTTATTTTCCCTTCATTTTTTTTTTATTTCCCTTTTTTTTTTTTTCTTCTTTCTTCTTCTTCTCTTTTTCTTCTTCCTTCCTTCTTATTTTTGCCCTAATCCTTCATTGTTTTGGTAATTATTTTTATGATATTGTTAATTGATTTTAATGGTTTAATCATGTGATAATTTATCTTAAATTATGAGTTTTATGAATTTTATTATACACTTTAAAATTTCAGAAATTTTGTTCATAAAATTAGGGCTTAAAAATGTTAGTTTTCATGTTTTGGGTTTTGAAACTGTGTTCTACAACTTATTTAATTAAAGCATGATTATATTGTAATTCTACTATGATCATGATGATGTTTAATTCAAAAACAAATTTTCAGTTTTCCGTAATCAACTTCTGATCTCCGTTCTTAATTTTTTTTAATCACGTTTAGATTCTAACTCGTCCGATTTTTACAATAAAATAGTGTTTTTCATGTGTAAACGACGTTTTAATCAAAACTCACTACCTTTGGTAATGAGCACCATCTTCACGTGGCCAAATTCAGCCTCTAAATATGGTTTTCGAGCAGTTTTTGATTTTTAACGAAGATTTAATGTTTAAAATAAATTTTCAGATTATTAAAGTTTTAATCTTGGGTTTAAATTGTATTGATTTCATGTGTTTCAAGTCTCTAATTTCATTAAACAAAGGTTGTGGTTATTTTATGATTATAAAGTTTGGAACTTTAAGGTTTAATTGCAAGAATAAATTTTTAGATTTTAGGTTATTGTTTTTTAAGCTTCTAAATGCGTTGAATTGGTGAATTTTTGGGTTTAAAGCCTACTAACTTAATATATAATGTAGGTAGTTTCAAAGATTACTATAATTTTGAGATTTCATGTATAAAATAAATTTTCAGATTTTTATTAAACTTTAAACTTGCTGTAATTCCATATATAAGTATGTATTTAAGGTTTTTATATAGGAAACTTAAAAAACAATATATAAACTTTTAATTCTAGCAAAAAGGAAGGTTTTAAAGTGTTGTTTAATTGAATTTTGAAGGTTTGATTGAGTTTGTATGAAACTAATTGAATTCTAATTATATATTTCAAGTTTAGATTGTTGTATTCATACAATCTACTATTAAATTAAATTTTCAGATTTTTAATCTTGGTTTTAAAGATTTTAAATCATGGTTTTATGATGGATTTTTAGGTTTTTAACATACTAACCTACTACATAATGATTATTTCAAGTAGAGATGTTTATAAGGTTGTTTTGTAATTTTAAACTAAATTTTCAGATTATGTTCTTACCTTAAAGTTGTTGGAATTTCATGGTTTAATTGCAAGAATAAATTTTCAGATTTTAGGTTATTGTTTTTGAAGCTTCTAAATGCGTTGAATTGGTGAATTTTTGGGTTTAAAGCCTACTAACTTAATATATAATGTAGGTAGTTTCAAAGATTACTATAATTTTGAGATTTCATGTATAAAATAAATTTTCAGATTTTTATTAAACTTTAAACTTGCTGTAATTCCATATATAAGTATGTATTTAAGGTTTTTATGTAGGAAACTTAAAAAACAATATATAAACTTTTAATTCTAGCAAAAAGGAAGGTTTTAAAGTGTTGTTTAATTGAATTTTGAAGGTTTGATTGAGTTTGTATGAAACTAATTGAATTCTAATTATATATTTCAAGTTTAGATTGTTGTATTCATACATTCTACTATTAAATTAAATTTTCAGATTTTTAATCTTGGTTTTAAAGATTTTAAATCATTGTTTTATGATGGATTTTTAGGTTTTTAACATACTAACCTACTACATAATGATTATTTCAAGTAGAGATGTCTATAAGGTTGTTTTGTAATTTTAAACTAAATTTTCAGATTATGTTCTTACCTTAAAGTTGTTGGAATTTCATGTTATCAGCTATATTTTCATGATTTTAGCATATAAACTTATAGTTGAACTATTAAATTATTAACTTTGGCTATTGGGAACAATTTAAAAGC